TGATCTTGATTAATAAGAGCAACATTGAATATTTTTAAATTTAAATATTAAAAAGAACATTTAAAATATAAAATAAATTAGCAGTGGGCAACACAATCTGACCAGAATATTTAACTTTACCAGACTAAATAGTTAAAGCAGAGTGGTTAATAATAAAGCAGCTCCTACTTCTCTGAAGAGGTCTTAGAATATCAAGCAAGGAGAGATAAGTTCCTACTTTTCCTGTGAAAACCTTAGGGGAAATGAGCAGCTTGTTCTGATGAAATAATTGGGGTGCGGAGATGTGAACCACTCACCAGGGCTCAGCTCTTGGAAGGCATTTTAGATTCACAGTTTAGATAATGCCTTAAGGGTCTACCTTGGACCTCGAAAACTGCGCTGGACAGATCGAGAAGAGTCGCCACCACATCCCTAAGGAGAGAACACCTTTTTATGGGGAGAGTGACCTGCCCGACGACGGTTAGGGGTGGAAGAAAGTACTGCACTGGAGTTGAAGCCACTTCCCTCCCTGTTCAGAACACACAATCAAATAGGCCTGTTTCCTTTTCAAAGTTCGTATGAAGTTTTCAATTGAATCCAATTATATGGGTGGATCATAGAAAGTGTCTGATAAATTATCCTGGCATCCACTGAGCTAATTTAGGAGTTATTCTGCAACAGGACAGCCCTCGGTGATTGACAAAGCACTTTCACTATTTATTCCTTGACATCTTTCCATAATAATGGGGGGGGAAGCCCCAGAATAAACAAAAAAATTTAAAACTTTAAATAAAGACAGGGTCTGACCCCCCCCAAAAAAAACCCCTCAAAAATGGTAATACTGATCCTTTTTCCAAAATTTTATTTTGCTCGCCTTGGATTAAAAAAATATATACTGCGTTAAAATACTATGTTCTCATTATTTTGCTCCCCCTCGACTCTGTGCATAGGTGTGTGCCCCCTTCAGGTTCAGTCCTGGTCTTCAGTAGTTCTCAAGAAGAGGCAGAGCCTCTACTCAGTGAATATGGACCGGGGCACTGGGGGGCTCCAAAGCTCCCATCTTTGGAGTATTTCTCAAACGTATTATTTCAACAATCCTTTAAGCAACTTAGGCATTTGTTAACACAGCAAAGTACCTAACAGCACCTCCCCTGGTCCTGGGAGCCACCCCCGTCGGGGTGGGCCGTCCCCTGAGCCAGGCACGGGGGCGCCTAGACGTAAATCCTGCTGCGATGGCGACACTGAGACAAAGAGGAGGTGGAGGCCTCCCCCGCACCTGGACTGGTCACGTCCAGGGCTTTTGGGCCCAGACTGGCTCCGGTAACTGAATTCTCAAAGGTGAAGAAACAAGTGCATCACCCACCCACGGGCGGACTCGGCCAAGGCTCCCGCAGGTGTTTCACCCTCCATCCCCCAGCACCCCAGGGGAGAGGGCCGCGTGGCCGCCTGTACGCACCCTGCTCCCGGGGAATCCGCACCAGGCAGTCCACCATGCCTTTGTACTGCGCCTCGGGGCTGATCTGCTTGGACGATGCCTGCACTTGCAGCAGCAGCTTCACGCGCTCGATAGGCGCCACTGCGGTCTTCGACACAGCCGCCGCGACCCCGCCGGCCAGCAGGTCCTTCCCGAAGGACGAGGCATCGAAGAGCCGCTTCTCCCCCTTCTTCTCCTGCTTCTTCTTCGGAGGGTCCTGCTGCATGGTCGACGTCGGCCGTGAAAAACCAACACACGCGGGTTGAAACCAGCCGGGTGAAACTACGAAGGGAGCACAAAACCGCTTCAGCGTCGTCCTGGCGGGAAATCGGCGCTGAGGAAGCCGGGAAACAATGCACCGCGTGAGGGTCAGGAAGCTGCGCATGCGCTATCAACCGCCTCCCGCCACCTGGTGGTGGCCACGTGACTGCCTGCACGTGACTCCCTACACGCCTTCACCCCCTCGGTGTCGAGTGGGTGTGGCTCAGTGCGCGGGGTTTTCCTTGACGCCTGTGTGCGGAGCACGTGGGTTCTGAGCAGGGTAGATGCAGAAAGGGAGCCGGCAGAGCTATTTCGTTCAAGAATTGCTAGTGTACAAACTAGAGCAGTCAGCCAACGTGCGGGATTAACCGAGTGTAGATTTGTTCCCAAGGTTACTCTGAATTTTTCTCTTAGAAATCGTTTTAGTTTCTGCTTCTTTTGCAGGGGTCGTTTACTCACATCATCATTGGTTTTACTGATTGCACCCAGAAAGCGTAATTCACTATGTTCCTCTTGCCCCCTTGTTTTATTGAAATCGGTGCTTCTCTGTCCAGACTTCACCATCAAAGAAGACGGGGGAATAGCGTTTAATTTTAATGCTTGGACTGGGAGAATTCTAATGTGCAGGTTACCAGTGACCCATTCTAGAACTGGGGTTCACACACTTTTTGATTTTAGGACCCCTTTTTCACTCTTAAAAATTAAGAGCACAAAGAAGCTTCTGTTTTTTTGTTACATGAATTGTTATGTCCCATTTCATAAACTGAAACATAATTTAAAACTATTAACTTAAAAACACACAACATTTTGCCCTGGCTGGTGTAGCTCAGTGGATTGAGCATGGGCCTGCGAACCAGAGTATCGCAGTTCCATTCCCAGTCAGGGCACATGCATGGGTTGCGGGTCAGTTCCCAGGGGGGGGACACTGGAGGGGCAACCATACATTGATGTTTTTCTCCCTCTCCTTCCCTTCCCCTCTAAAGATAAATAAAATCTTTAAAAAAAAACACATTTAAAATAACTTATGGTGGGGGGGAATGGAGACAACTATACATAAAAAATTTAAACAAGTTTAAAAATATATCAAAAAAAATGTAGTGAGAATAGCCTTGTTTGATATTTTTGGGGAATCTCTTTATCTGAAGAAAGGACAGCTAGATTTACATAGGAGGGCCCCCCCCCCAAAAAAAACAACAGAATTACTCTCTGGAGGGCAGACTTCTTAAAGTACAAGCTTCCCAAGCTAGGTGAGTGTTTTGGGAACCCTAAGATGTACCCCCAGGTTGGTACATATGTATCAACTGTACCAACTGGCATTGTTGTGAGAGGCTGTGTTTGGCTTCAGTGAATTTTTTTTTGAAGACTTTCACTGTGTTTACCCATTTTTTGATGGGTGATTTACGAGCACAACCGCTCACACTGTGCTGTATTCAGTAGTTTTTGACCTACAATGACATGACTCCCCCATGCCCCACCGTCCCCATTCACCTGATCTCGTTTTGAGTGACTTTTTTTATTTCCCCAGAAGAAAAAAAATACTCAAAGGGAAACATTTTGCCAATATGGAAGAGGGGAAGCCAAAAATGGTAGAAGAACTACAAAGTATCAAAGTGTTCAAAAACTGTTCTGAGCAGTGGAAAAAATGTCTGGACAGGTGGATTGCATCAAATGAAGAGTACTTTAAAGGAAACTGAAATTTAAACATGTAAAAGTAAATACACAATTTTTTATAAATAAATTCCAGGGTTTTTTGGGTCCCCCTAATAACTGCTTTTCAGGCAGTTGCAATGTCCCCATGCAGCTGCAGTTGCAACACCCCATGCAGCTGCTGGAAAACTCCCCTGAGAATGAGAGGCTGAGAATGAAACTGGCAGCCACTGACTGTCTCAGTATTACATACCAAGGAAAGTTTTGAGCTCACGGAGGCCCAGATGTCTTGGTGACACCCAGGCCTCTCGCCCACTGCACTGTGAAACCTCTGAGGCTGGTCGGACTCAGGTTTGACTTCTTTGGACAAGAATACTCAGTATATCATGTCCTTCTCCCTCCCTTTTAAAAATGCGCGTATCCTAGCGATCCCTCTGTAACCTTTTCCCAATTCCCTTTGCAGCCTGTTGAATGGTTTCTCATAGACTCTCTGTAGGACCTGCAGAAAACCTGAGTCACTCACAGTTTTGAACTTAGGTTTTCATTTTTCCTTCATTAAGTGTGTTACAATACTTTTCATGCTAGTTGAAAACCAAATCTGTAGGCCAAAAGGATTCCAGAGTAGGAATTTTGTCACTATTTTGATTACAAATGAAATATGATGGCACGTCCCGCTGGTCTGGTGTTTCATGCTACTTTCCTTTCTGCAGAGGCTAGTTTTTCAGCCAGAGTCTCTCATTTTACGTGTTGTCACCAGACTAATCTTTCTGAAGCAATTGCATTACTCACTATTTCTAGTCTTAAAAAATTTAAAGTCTTTCATTGCCTCGACCTCAAAATCCTTTATGACATCCATTGTAAATTCAAGAAATAAATGATTGGTGTTTTATTTGCAAAAATCTGAAAAATGAAAGGTTGCAATCTCCTTAAAGGGAGTTTGAAATGTTAACAAGTACATAGGGAGAAACTTAAGGAGGTGATCACTTATATCTTACTCCAAGGTGCCAAGAGAGGTCAAAGGCAATGTCTCTGGTTAAACAGAATGTAAGTATCTCAGTGGACAGACAAGCTACTCCTTAGGGCAGTTTCCTCTTTTTTTGCCTCCTTTTTCCCTACCCCAGCATTTGACTCTATAGTTGAGGATGTTTACAACGTATCTCTTTATGATATCCTCAAGCTGATTTATGATATATATTCAATGATAGAAGACAACAGAACTGAAAGTACTTAGAAATGTAGCTTTTTTTTTTACCTTAAATGCTTTAGAACAGCTCTTTTCAATAGACTGAACTGAAAATGTTTACTTTAACTTGCTGCATTTCATTTTATTGACTAATTGATAGGACAAAAAACAGTGCTGGTGACTTATACGTTGATATTAAAAGTACAGAGTTTCATGGCCTTCGTACTCCTTACCCCCACGAGGGTGGGGACTTTTAGCTGTTTTATCATTTTTTTGTATTTCCCCCCACTGCTGCATCCCCAGCAACCAGAACAGTGCTTGGCACAGAGTAGAAATTCAGTCAACATTTTTTGGACCCATGCATGAAGAGGCAACACAACCAGAAACAAATCTCCAAACCATCTTTATTAAAAACTACCAATATAGTATAAAAATAGCTTCAATTATATAGAATATAGAAATATAGCTATACAAATTAAATTCCTTCACACAGTTTAGTGTATAAAGTTTTAATAACATTTAAGAGTATTTTTAAAAATTACCAAAGTATAAATCCTCGTTTTTCAAAGTGTTTAATGCTGAATATTTTTCCTCAGCTTCTTTCCAACATCTTGTGTACAGTAGCTGGGATGATTTAGCTGAAAACACTGGTTTTCAACCAGTGGGTATTGGGTGATACTGGTAGCAGCAGCTAACACTTTTCTAGCACATAACATGTGCCAGGCACTGTTTAGAGGGAACTCACACACACAACAAACAATTATTCATAATATTTTCAAGAATGCTCAAAACAGACAAACCTACTAAATTGATTTCATAGGCATTTCCCATTTGTATTAGAAATATAAAAAAGCAGGCACTGGAAATGTACTATCTCACCTGTATGCATCATCATTAACAGTCCCTTGGCACAAATAAACAACTCTCCCTTGCTAAGTACAGTTCTCTAACCCCACAAAAATGGACCAGTGACAGTTAAAGGGGAAGGAGGGAGGAAAAGAAGGAGACTCTAAAAGGGAATTTTGGAGGACTAAAAATACAGGGAGAGGGGCAAAAGCAGGTTTACAGTTGTGAGTAACAAAACACAGCTTATTCTTCTATTATTACTTGTTGATTATTGTATGTTTTGCCATATGAACAACAGTTGTTCATATGGCAAAAAATACAATATATACAGCATATTACATAACATGGTAATAAGACAGTACTTGATATTTTAAAAAATGGTTGTTATATAATCTTTTGCATTAATAATCTTGGTGAAAGGGACCATTTGCAGGATGCTAACAAAATCCAACTTCAGAATGTTTCTGTACCTGCTAAAGAGTATACACTTCTGTGGTACAGGCACCGTCGCTTTGTCCACTTTTTGAATAAGGTGGTGGTAGACAGGCATTTATTACCCAGTAACCAGACTGATCTACTTTCGGATGTGGCTATGACCATATTTGGGAAATAGTCTGCTAAGTTTACTTGAAATGTTTACTTAAAACCAAGATGATGTTTGGTTTCATTTTAAAAAACTGCAGTCTCTACAGCACGGACATTATACATCTATAGTCCAACAAATGACTTCCCCTACTTAACACCAGTAGTTTACTCTGTCTTTTTATTTCAGTTATTTAGCAGGGGCCAATATGATTCTGTGACACCAGAAAAGCTATTCAACAGATTAAAATTTCATTAAATGAAGCACACACAAAAAAAGTCCTTTATGATAGCTTTCAGTCTGTTTGAAAATCTCAGGTGATCAGTAGCTGCATTTATTAATAATTCTCAATATTAAATTAGGTCGTGGCATTTGGGGGGGGAAATATCAAGGAATTTAAGACATTTAATAAATACTTTTAAACAAAGTGCCTTCCCACCCTGGATCCCACAATGCCCTGAGCTCAGAGAGGTACAAAGACTTGCTCACAGTCATGGCACTATGCAGTTTCAGGGCCCAGTCACGCTCCCCGACTTCATAATTCAATATGAGTCTTAAGATAAATACACAATGAATTGAGTACTTTTCCAAGACAAGTATTTCCTATATTAATTTTATATAAAACACAATATTATTTCAAAGTAGTCAATAAATTAATGTTATATACCAAAATGGAAATAAATGAACAATTCCTTCTTCATACTTTGATCATGAATCTTTTTTCAAAAGTCTCACAATACCACACAAGATCGAGTGCATAAAATCCAATGGGAAATGCTCTTGATATTTAGCGATGTCATGTTCAATAGTGAACAGTGAAAAGAAGCTAACCCTTATCGTTGTGTGTGGATCTCTGCAATCCTGAGGCTGCCCGGGGCTCCACGCAGCATCGCTGTGCAGCAAGAAAACAGTTACAAGGTCAACCCGAAGAACAACTTAAAGGCCATCTCAATGGCAACTTCTGTGACCGAGTCATGAAAACAGATATAAAGTTCTTGAACTTTGGGGTGAAGAAAGAGTCTCCTGCAGAGAAAAACACTTACTTTAGAAATTCAAAAAACAAAGGAAAAAAACGTTCACTTTCCATTTATTTTATTTCTTTTTTTCTTTTGCTAGATGTAAAACCGTCAGATACAATGAGTGTGACTCCTTTTCTGTCTGCCGTACCACCCACCTGCCAGCACAGTTTGCCAGGCACAGCTCCATTTACTAAATGTTATATGTTTATCAGTCTATGTGCTAGGCGCCAGTGGCGTTCAAGGCAGGCCTCATAAAGCTGATATTCTGGCCTGAGGAGCAGGGAGACCACAAACAAGCAAGAAAATGAATAATAAAGGTTATATAATAGAGTATCCCTGAGCAGCTCTTTTAATGCAGGGAAGAGAGTACAGATCTTTTTTTTGAGGAGGTGACCTCTTAGCACTGGTGTGAAGATCAAGGAGCCACATGCAAAGGGTAAGAGGCGGAACATCCCACACACAACGAATAGCAGGAATGAGATTCGACTGTGCCCAGGTGCTGTGTATATGGGACGGGAGAGAAAGGTGGCGGGCAGTGGGAACAGCGGTGGGCAGGAGCCAGGTCCAGCAGGGGCTTGCAGCTGGTGGGGGCAGAGGGGAAAGAGAGTGGAGGGAGGAGAGAAGGAAAGAAGGAAGTAGGGCCAGAAGGAAGGAAACAGCAGTAAAATTGTGAAATGATGGGGTTTTTTTAGATTATTACTAATATAATTTTGTAACTGAGTTAACTTTTTGTCTTTAGTAGAAGAAAACTTGGGAAGAATTTAAAGGACAGACTTAGCAAATAAAGTAAAACTCTAAAATATAGTAAAATATGATAGTTAGATGAATAGTTACATGCCTACATCTTAAGCCTTTCTCTCCCTTACCACTACTTTTCTTTCCTTTTGCTAGCGCTTTACTCCCCGACATGCCTTCCCCACTCACCCGACCACCCAGTACGCCACGACCGGGGGCGCTTTCTTCTGGTCCGTCCAGTGTTCAGGTGAGCACTCGAACAGCACCCCGTGCTCCTTCACAGGGTTCAGAGCAGAGACCGAGTCCGTGGAATCTGAACCATCTGCAACATTTGGTGCTTTCTTTTTCTGTAGGTGAATAGGCATTATTAATATGAGCTGGGATTAACAGTGTTACTTAAAAATGTCTTCACATATATGTCTGAACTGGCTGATCCTAATACTTAAGAGCCTGCAAAGACATTCTCCTCCTAACCGCAGGCAAATTTCTCCTCTTCTTCATACTTACTTTACATACTACCTCCTAAGAGAGACTGGATGGAGCAAGCGTCCCTTGACTCCCCAGGGAACATTTGGGTCATAGCTCTAAATCAGTGTTTATATTGTATTGTCTTAGCAGTTTATAGGTCTTTCTTCCCCAGCACATAAGATTCTTTTTCAGGGCAGAGACAATATACAAAATACAAAACGATATACAAAATACAAAAGTCTTTGTATTTTTTAAAAGTGCTTGGTACATAGTAGGAGCTGAATGAGTAGATTACTAAATAGATCATTATTATAAAAACTTAAAACATATTAAACTTAAAGCAGTACATTCTCTTCCTCTGATGCATACTAAGTTTCCCATTGATTAAATCATTAGCAAAATGATGACTTCTGTGGAATATCAAGACTTTTCGTAAGGCTCCAGCCAAAACGGTGGAGTGGTCCTCAGTTCTTTTTCCTCTCAAAACCCTGATCTGACCCAAGGACAAACCCTTTGGGCTCACTCTCTGGAATGCATCCAGAGTCCAGAAGCCACTGTGTTCCTTGCCTTGAAGATTTTCCATAGCTCCTGACTGGTCCCGCGGCCACCGCTGCCACCCATCAGCGCCTGTTCTCCCACGGCAGCCGGAGTGATCCGTTCAGAACCAAGCATTGTGTCCCTGATCTGCCCACACCAGTCCGAGAACCTCCCACCTGTCGGGCCACACATGATTCGCCCTGCGGCCTGGGCCATCTCAACGCCCACCACTCTCGGGCCCACGCTGCCGCTCTGGTGCTTGTGGCTACTCTGACTTCTGTGGCTTTGCACCTGCTGTTCCCTCTTGTCTGGAAGCTCTGCCGCCAGATTCCCCACTGGGCTCCCTCTCTCACTTCGCTCAGCTGTCTCTTCACATATTACCTGACATGCTTAGAGGGATCTCTCGGAATAGTAACACCTCTCATCCTTGTTTTGTTATTCATTTTCAAACTGATCCTACCTGACATCTTTCACTACTTGCTAACTTGTTCACTACTTGCTAATAGGGGCTATTCCTAGTGGCCCCTATTAGAATATAGGCTTCATGAGGAAAGGGCCTTTGTTTTGTTCACTGCTGTACTGCCAGTACCCAGAATAGTGTCTGCTGAACAGTGGGTGTCCCAATATTTATATTATATGGGGAAGGCTAATTTATATTACTAACTATTATTGAACAAGCAAGTGAGATGTTCCCTTATAGACTCTATCAGTTGCGTTAAATAGGAAAGGAGGAACATAGGAATGCAAAATGCATAGGGATATCTGGTTGAACATAACATTTTGCTGAATACCAATTTCTGTTAGCTTGAAGAAGAAATCCTATAAGATACAGAATTTTACTGTTAAATGAACCCCAAGAAATTATATAACCGGGTCTACTCACTTTATAGCTGAGGAAACAGGAAAAGGTGAGGCTCGGCCTGGGATTCCTAGTCCTAGCCCAATGTTCTTCCACCTTTAAACCCCATTTCTTCACAAATTTACATCCTGAATACACATGTTGCTATATACATTATAATCATCTTCAGAGAGTTTTTTTGGGGGGTGGGTCTGTGATGAGTGAAGAATCACAACTAAACTTCTATAAGTTTATCTTTTTCTAGAAATACTTATCTTTAATCAATACACATTACTACTTTCCAGAAGGCACAATATTAAATGAAATTTCATTCTGGATGGAAAAGCAAGCAAGCAACCAATCAACCAAGTGGCTAAAACATTTGCAACAGTATTGTGTCTACTGCTGGACCTTATCCCATTATGTTCCAAATTACCTTCCCTGCTGGTTGAATACTTAAGGAATTATCAGTGTTACCACAATGGCTGAGTCACAGATATCAAACTCCGGAGCCTAATTTACATTCTAAGCTAGGACAGGCTACTTTGCCTTACAAAAGCGCAGGCCTGCCACTTCCTGAAATGGTAATCTAAGACATGGAACTCAGCATCGTAAAACAGATCTTTGAAGTTACGGACTGTGAGTATAACAATCCTTATGCCATCCAGTTAGAGTGGGTGACTTACAAAAATTTAATGAAAACAGTCATTACTGGACATACTAGTTAAAGAAAGGGCTTTTAGAGAGAACATCTGGAGATCGGGAAATGAAACCAGCAGAATGCTATATTTAGAGCAGTGCCCACCTCTTGCATCAAGGTCTGCTGGAAAACTGCACGAATGGAGAGACAGCACTGATGGAAATTCTTTATTAGCTCGGGGTGGACAGAGCCGCCCAGCCAGGCCACGTCTTCGTGGGTAGGAGTAATAAAGATCCCTTGCACTGTTTCTAAGGCAACGTAGTGGAAAAGTGTGTTCTCTGGACCAGATGTCAACCTTGAAAAAAAAAAGTAAAAGAAAAAAGATATTGAAGTAAACTTAGAAATATTGCTCCATTTTAAATTGGGAAGCCTCCTAATGAGTTTTTAAAAAATCTAGAATATAATATCGGGAGGGGAATTAGGCAATGGAAACAAAGCCAAACATTGAATTCCCTCTTCCTCCTTCACTGAAGTACAGACTAGGGTTATTATTGATTCCCTTAATGGAGGCAAGCATTGTGTATTATGCAAGGATAAAGAAACACCAATTCATTCACAAGTAACTGAATCGTCCCTTTGCAAAACAATCCAAACTGGCCAACTTCCTCTTTTTCCGTTGTTGGTAATGACTAACTCAGCCCACACCTGGCCCAGATCTCTACAAGTGAGGAACATGCTACCAGTCAAAGGTAGATCACATATATGAAAAAATCTTCCAAACTAAACACATTTAAGTTAGCAGCATTAAAGCCTTATACCATGATAGTTAAACTGACAGTCCTGAAGAAAAATAAAACTACTACCAAGGGCGAAGCTTGTTTAACATTCTCAAATACCACGGCAATCACTAGTTGCAGTCTATTTCTCATTACTGCAGTCTGCTTTTTCTGTGTTCTCTTACTATTTTCATTTCTCCATTCTTCTCTCTCCTTTCTTCCCCTCGTTAGGTCTCAGGCCAGCAGAATTTATACATACTGCTTGTTTCTACCATTAGTGAGCGGAGCCAAAGAACAACAAAATAATAATATGCTGAATGCCCTCTGTGTGAGAAGACAGGTGCTTTAAAATATCTTGGGTCTCACTTCTCACACTGACCCTGCAGGTATTAAACAGTAGCATCCTGTTTTTACCAGGCTGTCCCATAGCGAAGCAACAGAGCTCAGCTGACTCTGAAACTCGCTTCGCTGAACCTCTCTTTCTTCTCTCCACTACTGACTTCTGGTTGGCAGTCTTTAAATACATCGACAGCAATTTCCCATTGGCAACTCAAACGCACAAGCTGTCCCATTCTGATTCTAACGTCTATAGTAAAAAATTCCTTCAGTTGATTATTTTTTCGGCCCTGGGTGCAGAGGCAAGGAAGAGGCCTATTTCTGCACTGAGCCTGGATCCTGCCCTGATCGTGCCTGCGGGGCACAGGGAACAAGCACTACGGGATGAGGGGTGCCCTTATCTGGGCATTCAGCACGGCACCCCCTCTGAGAACAGTAAACTCTACTTTAAAAATTGGACACGCAAAGGGGAGCTTACCTGTGGGAGAGAGATAAAGGGCGGCTTTCACATCTGAATTATTACTTTGTGTGTTTTTTATCTCTTATGTTTCCTATATGTGTAATGAAGAACATCAGAGAAATAGCATAGATATTACGTTTGATATGCAAGAAACACTGTAACTACAATTGTTGAATAAAATCTCTATAGGCTATGGACTTGTACTTTCTCATTGTAAAATTTCCTTGAAGGCAGAGTTTAAGGAGAAAAGAATATTACAAGGCAGTTGCTTACTTCATTGTGTTATATATTTCCAATTCTTTTTCTGAAAGGTCCTTTTTCAAGTTCCCCAAATGAAACGGATTTAGAAGAGCAGACTTCTTTTTAATGACCTAAAAAATATAGTTAAGTAGGTCAGTTTATATCTAAGAATGGAGTCGAATATAAAATAATGTAAAAACTAAATATCCTTCTAAGAGAACTCTTTGCTACTTTGCAACGTTACCTTCAACATTTTCAATGCTGACTTGTGTCTCCTGAGCTATCTTTGCTCACGGGGACCCCGGGGCCGTGTCATAAGAAGACTTGAGTTCTCCCTCCCTACCAGGGCCACTCTGGAGCCTTTCCCAAGTGCCGTTGTAATTTACATATGTATGTACTTGTCTCCCTCTCCAGAAGGCACCCCTCAAAGGCAGGGGCTGTGCCTTAGTCACCATTTTATCTCCTTTGTGTCGCATAGCCCTGGGCACAGAGTAGGTGTTTGCTCGATATTTGTTGGACGGCTAAAGTTTAGAGATTAATTCGATTTTTCTTAGGAGTTGTTCATGGTTCCTTAATACTTTCCAAATAGTCTTAAACTCTATTTCCTACCCATCTCACTGACTGGGATACTAAGTACAGTACCACTGCGAGCACTTCCTCAATACATGCACTTTAGGCTCTGTTGTTTGGAACTGGGAGGTCAAGTTTACGGCTGGCTATGCCACGGCACCCAGAATCTCCTAGGTCACTCCTGCCCCTCCTCAGACTCCGCCTTCTTCATGCTTTGTCACCTCTATCCACCCAAATGATAACTTCCAAAAATGTTTCAAAAATGAAAGATTACTAAAATAGGTAGGAATCGCTTCTCAGGGTGATTACTTTGATAATCATTTGGATATAGTACAGTGTTTTCATGGGGAAAAAACACACACATAGGAAATGACAGATAAGCAGTCCGAAAAATGAACATTCTCTTCCCTTGACAGTCACATTTTCAGCTCTTGAGTATGGAGACCCAATATTCACAGGTACAGATTAAAAAAAAAATAGAACAAGACACTCACACATATTTTAAGTTACTGATTCTGTTTTTGTTTCTGCTGAACCTTTTATTGGCTATGTAGTCAGATCACTAAATGCCTGCTCCTGGGCTGTTCCCTGTTAACACTGAACAGAGAAGAAAGAGATGAACAGGCAAGGCAGGACTAAAGAGTTCCCCTTCTTGTAAGCAGTGTTAAAGCAGATGTCCTGGATATCACTCACTATTTCTTCTTCTTTTTGGTTCTGAATCACTGGTTTTCCAACAGTGGCTAAAACCCCCACCAGTTCAAATGAAGAATGATCTGCCACTAAAAATCCTAGATTGTTACAGAATCCTAGGTTGTATAATTGTGATTATAAAACAAGGACTGGAAAGACAGCCTGGCCCCCAGAAGGCACACACTTGACAGCACACGCACCTTAAGCAAGGCCCCACTTTCTTCTGAGCCATCAGCTTCTCTTTGCTTCCGCTCTGCATCTGGTGTCGTGTGGGGGCTCAGGCCACCGGCTTCTCCACCTTCGCAACCGTTGTCAGATCCTCCACTGTTTCGGGAAGGACTGGGCTTCCGCGTCTTCAGGGAACAGTCACCAAAAAGAGTTCTTCTGCACGTGGGAGAGGTTGCTACTTTGGAAGTACCTTGTAGCTTACTGAGGATCGGTGAGGCTGTCAAACCATCTAATTTTTCATGGGACCCAGCAAGGAACCAGTCAGCACAAGACAAGCAGGGGCTTGGAGAAGATTCCAGCTGTTCATTTATGCGGCAGTCCACTCCCTGCAGCTGGTGAAGAGTTGTCTTGACCTGATCCACGTATATGCAATCTGGTCCAGGATTCCCAACAGCTTTGGAGGCACAGCCTCCAGCTTCTAACAGTACACACAACACAAAATGCCTCTATAAGAAGAAAAAGTTATTAGGATACATTTAGCTACATGAAGACATTTATATGCAATATGCATGCATCAGTTTATGAACACTGAAGACATGTGGGCATATGGCATAACCATGTGAAAATTAGGAAAAACTCCTCCCTCCCATTTCCTTCTTAGTGATTCTCAGTCCTTCTTGCTCACCCTGGAGAACAAATCTCACACTGCCTTATCCTGATGTGCTATCAGTCACCACTTATGGCACATGGAATTTCTAGCGTAGCTTTCAAAGAGCCTCAATTACTAGAAGTCCTTTCATTTATAATCACCTACTTATTCTGATTCTGTATTTTTTTGTATGTTTCCCTCTATTTCCCAAAACAAACCAGGGGATAAAACCACTACAGAAATGGGAACAAAAGACTAAAGAACCTGCTAAAAATCTCATCCTGGGTTTCATTACTGGTTCTCCATGAGTTTTAAATGGATGCTAAAGAAAAGAAATAAGGGGCATGTAATATTTCTCGAATACTGGAATCCGACGAGCTCATAATTTTAAATCATAATATTTGTGTATTTAGCTAGTAAAAGGCCAAAAAAAAAAAAAAAAAGAACAAGAAAGAAACCAAGGAGAACTCACCCAGCCAACAATTAGCAAAAAATGTCTCCCTTCAGGCTCCTGGAAGGCTTCAGGGTCTGAGTCTGTGGAGGGTTGGCGGTGACATCGAGGAAACACTTCTCTCCATATCACCAGCTGACCGATCCTTTGTTTTGCTGCTAATGGCAGTAGGCCGTAGTGGCGACAGTATACAGCAACATCAATAAGATCATCCTTAGGTAAATGGCTGCATATCAAATAGCCCTTGAATTTAACCACAAAGAACAGGAGTCAACCAGGGGCATGGAGCAACAATCCTGTAAGATATTTGTCAGATTTTATAGGTACTTTTTCAGTTGGCTTAAAATATTCCAGTTCCAAATGGAATAAAGACATAACAAAAATTATTTCCCTGAGAGGTCAACTAGAGATCAAATATTTATGATAACACACATCTACAACAGGTAGGTGGCAGCACAACGCAGTATCACCTCTGAGTAGTGTCAAACCTGAGTGTTTGGCAAAATCAGAACAGAACTGAATTCTGAGGATGGAAAGTAGAGAGTCAGGAACTGAAAAGTGAAAATACTTAAATTCGTTTGGTGCTTAACCAGCTTTACTTGGAAGTCGACTCCTTAATGTTAAAAGATTTCTTAAAAAGATGCCTGGCTACGTCTGAAGATAAGAAACCAGCATACCCCTGCAACAGGAAATTTGGAAGGCACTCTTTCCTCTCTCACATACTTAGTTCTTTGAGTACAGTTTCTCCTTTACAAATTTTCAAATGCTTTAGAACACAATGAAACCAGAATGGTCACTGTACTTGTAAATATGTAGCTATAAGTTTGAAGAAGTTAATTTTAGGGTACCATAAGAAAAGAACAGATGTACTTCTCATGTTGTAAAAGTCTGAGAAAATTTAGGTCTGTTCATATAGCAGTCTGACATTCATAAAAGACTCAAGCTTCGACTTACCTTGTAAAACAGAGAAGACCCTAAAATTGTATACAGCCGCCTCATGTCGTGGTAATCCTCAGACTGGGGGAAAAAACACAGTGAATTTAAAAATCCCAGTTAAGCAACAACAGTTAAAATGGCAATTATATTCTTTAGTTGCTAAACTTTTCATAGTACCTTTATTAGAAATTAATAATCTAAGGCATTAGAGTGAAAGATAATGTACAAAGTAAGTACTTTGAGAGCAGTCTTATTTTTGATTCTTAAAGGAAACTATTGATTAGAGACATCTAAGAATAAACATAAGATCTGTTTAAGAGGGATTACCATTAAATGAATGTATCAAGACAAAAAGCTTCTACACTATACATCATTTAGAACAGCTAATATTACCACATACTCTTTTTGAAAATACAAATTGGCACAACCTATTTGGAGACCACTGAGTAGTATGCAAAACTTAAAAAAATATATATATATATATATACTCTTTAATTATATAATAATTAATTATTTGTAATATGCAAAATTGAAGATAAAGTGAGTTTCAACAATGGAGAATGGTTAACGAAATTAGGTATGTTCATAACAGAGAATATCATACCTTTGTTGAAAACTAAGGCTGATCTATATGAGCAGGTACGAAATAGTTCAGGATACACTGTTCAGCAACGAACGCAGGCTGCAGAACAAAACACCACTATGGTGCACTTTCCGTTAGAAACAGCAGCCCCGGCAACACGCTTGTGTGTACATGTACCTGGGTGTTGGCTTGTATGTGGGGATGTGTACAGAAGAAGGTCAGGAAGAACACGCTCCAAACTGTAAGAGCAGTTACAGTTGGGCATGGAACTGGGGAGAGGGATGAGGAGAGAGGACATTTGCTTTTAATAACCAGGTTTGCATTTTTATCCAATATGTATGCATTAATTTTGTAATTAAGAAAACAATAAAACCTAAAGAAAACTAAAAACTGGAAATGATCTTAATATCCTCCAATTGGGGAATGGATAGCATGATGATACATTCACACAGTGGAATACTACTCAGACCGAACTACTGATACGTTCAATGATGTGAGTGAATCTCAAATGCATTATACTAAATGAAAGAAGTCAGACTCCCAAACTACCTCCTGTGTGATCTGATTTATACGACACTGCAGAAGAGGTAAAAACCAGGTAAATAACCTTTAAAAAGGTTATTAAGAAACTGACAAACTGTTTTCCAAAGTAGCTGTACCATTTTACATTCTCAGTTTACCATTTTTTTCTTTTATGAATCGACTTGATATTGTATCCAAGGAATCCCAACAGGTCCTTTTCTAACCACAGAAAATACTGCCAGTTCCACTGCTCATCAAAATGATGCTCAATAAAGGCAGAGACTAGACTTTCATTAAACCGATTGGATGTAAGTGCTTAAAACCCAGAAACTTTAATTCTTTATATCTAAACTGCTCCTAATGATTAGTACCTATCTAAACAAACTCCATTAGTAAAAAAACTTATGACGTATAAAGAGTTCACATACTTAAATTTCCATTATCTTCACAAAATACCCTTCCTTTTGCTCGGGATCTTAGTTAAGACTAAGTCACCCTTCAAATTAACATCCTTTCCCCACTTTTACAGTATTTCTTCTTAAGGATGATCCACCCCCATTGCTTTGACTCCCTAACTTCTGATGTGCTTTTTTAAACTTTCATTACTAAAATTTTAGCACACATAAAACTAGAATAGTGTAAGTAGCTCCTATGTACCTCTCGCCACCTTCAATTGTGACCAGTACACAGCTAATTCTGTTGCATCTATATCCCTCCCTCCTTCTTCTTGCTTCCTGTTGAATTCTTTCCAAATCAACCCCAGATGTTATGTCATCTCACTTGTAAATACTTCAGAGGGTGTCTCTAAAGCAGAAAGACTTAAAATACATATATAACCCTAATAGCATCACCGCACCTAAAGGGTTACTCTCACCTAATATCCAGTTACCAGTATTTACATTTTTAAAAAATTTAATTGTTGTTCAAGTACAGTTTTCTGTCTTTTACCCCCATCCCAGCCCACCCCTAGTGCTCCCCACCTCCCTCCCATTTCCATCCCCCCTTAGTTGGTGTCCATGTGTCCTTTATACTAGTTCCCATCAGTATTTACATTTTCTGGAGTCTCGGCTCCTCTTGGCAAGAAATATTACTGATGCACGACAGCCTGGGTGCTAGTGGTGCTCATGAGTCATGAGTGCTGGGATGGCCACAATGTCTGGGCTTTTTCATTGGGCAGAGCTAGGAAATACGTTTTTTTAAGTATTAAAAACTGGCGAGGATGTGGAGTAAAGGGAACCCTTTGCACTGTTGGTGGGAGTGCAGACTGGTGCAGCCACTGTGGAAAGCAGTTTGGAGACACCTCAAAAAGTTGGATCTGCCTTTTGACCCAGTGGTCCCACTTCTGGGAATATATCCAAAGGAACCTAAAACACTAATTCAAAAGAACATAAGCACATCTATGTTCATTGCAGAGTTATTGACAATCGTCAAGATATGGAAGCAGCCCAAGTGTCCATCAACAGATGAGTGCATAGCCCTGGCTGGTGCAGCTCAGTGGATTGAGCAAGGGCCTGCGAACCAGAGGATCGTGGTTTAATTCCCAGTCAGGGCACATGCCTGGGTTGCAGGCCAGTTTTCAGCAGGGGACACATGAGAGGCAACCATACATTGATATTTCTCTCCCTCTCTCCTTCCCTTCCCCTCTAAAGAAAAATAAATAAAATCTTAAAAAAAAAAAAAACAGATGAGTGGGTAAAACAACTATGGGACATTTACACAAAGGAATTCTACTTGGCCATAAAAGAAGAAAATTTTACCCTTTGCAACATATGGATGGACCTAGAGAACATTATGCTAAGTGAAAAAAGCCAGTCAAAGCAAAACAAATACCATACGATTTCACTCATATGTGGAACAAACTGAACACATCTAATGAACAAACTGAACTAACAAGCAAAAGAGAGACAGACTCACAGACGGAGAACAGATGACGGCTAGTGGCGGGGGGAAGTTAAAGGCTGGAGGGATCAAGCAAAAAGGAAAAAGGACTCACAGACATGGACAACAGTGTGGTGATTACTGGGGGGAAGGGGACATAAGAAAACTAAATGGTAATGGGAAAATATATTTGATAAAGATTATACATTTAACAAAACAAAACAAATCATATACTTTTCATTTAAATTCAGATCTACAGGGTTTTTCATTGATTAAATCAACATTACATGTATGTCCTGTCTCACAAAGCCCAGTTCTTAATGATACTAATGTAATTAATCATTACATATACATTATATAACAATTATTCTTAACTGAGTAGAACATCTTAAGGCAAACAAAATAGATTTTGTCCTCATCAAGATAGAGACCTAGTATTTTGCATTTCAAGATTATTACATTCCCACTTATAAAATATTTAGAATAATGACTAATTTGCAAATGACAAATCAACACTGAGTCTTTCCTAAAATTCACTGCTTCTCTTACCAGTTCTGCAAAATCTGCAGCTTCCAAGTCACTCAATGCTGTGTCTAATTCCACCTACGAGGAATAAAAGAGTAATACAATCATTCAACTCATAATTACTTTTTAATGATGGCCATATAAAAGTGTTTAATAATTACTTGAAGAGTTGAATAAATGCCTTTCTTCTTTGTATTATTTAACAACTGTCCCAAACAGAACATCTTGTTTTTAAACTTTCCAATGCAAAAAAATTAATTTAATATATAGGCATTTTTTTATTAAATCACAATTGCAAAATGAGCTTCACTCTGCATTCAATATAAAACAATTTATGAAATCAACAAATTGTTTGTAGTTTTAAGTGAGAAAAATTTTAACGTATTAAAATTGTTAAAGGAAAAAAATTGTAATGTAGCCTATCTATTTTGAGTTTTTGCTTTCTTATTTCTTCTATATTTCTTAATAGATAGATTCTTGGAAAATATCAGTGTTCTTCCCTGTCTCTCGCCTACGTTTTGTTTAAAAGGACTATTAATCTTTATTCATGGATTGAAACATGAAGGCAAGTGCCCCCTGGAATCTGGCACAGCTTAACCACCCTACAGAGTGATTAGAAAAATCTTTTACTCAGGATTTAGCTCTTGTTTCTATAGAAATTGCCCGAACTCCTTTATTCACTTTTTCCTAAAGCATTCACAATTTAAAAATAGTGAATATGATCAGCAGTTTAATCTGTAATGCATATACATCAATTAAAAATGGTAATTACAGTTTGTAGCACATATGCTATTTGCAAAAAGAGACCTTTTTAAAAATTTTTATCTTTTCTAAAATCCAAGGCCCTCTCTGCAGGGCTGCTCCACACACTGTGTGTGTCTGAAATGACGATGCTTCAGACACATTGGTCAAGCCTTTCAATGCACTTCCCGCAGTATGGCTTATTACTCCTCTGTGATCTACATTTTTCTGCCTCCAACAAATACTTCACACTCTCCTTTTGGCAGCTACAGTTTTCCACTTGAGATTTTGATTTCAGAAACGTTACTGTTTAATGAATTGCTGTCCCTGCTACAGGCCTCCATAGGCTAATGTACAAGGTTGCTATCATTGTTTCCTCATGTTCCTTAAGACAAAAGGTAGAGTATCTTTTCTCTTAATTATTCCAGTGTAACTTAGGAAAAACGAATTTTGAAAAAGAGAACATCTGACAAACAAAATAAAGAAATTCTCAAACACCTGGGGAAAAAAACTGAAGACCTCATTGTATACTAAACTCAGAGCAAGTTTTATTCCAAGTTAAAATGACTTTCTACCTCAAATTTATCAGGCACAAGTAACTTCATATATGTATGTTTTCAACTAAATTTTAAAAAAAACCCTCACTCAAGGACATTGATTTTAGAGAGAGGGGAAGGGAGGGAGAGGAAGAGGGAGAGAAATATTGACATGAGCAAAAGAAAGATGGGCGGGTCGCCTCTCATATGTGTCCTGACCAGCGGCTGAACCTGCAACCTGGGCCTGTGCCCCGACTGGGAATCAAACACTCACCCTTTAGGTTTACAGGAGGAGACTCCACCAACTGGGCCACACCAGCCAGGGCTTAACTTGATTTTTTTAACACATACAATTCCTTAATACTTTTCATTGGAAGATACAGAGTCACTAAACTCTATTATTTTTAACACAGTAAGCAATTTCAAAGAAAAGAAAAGTGTGCAAGTTCTTTGAGTTTGCTGGTAAAACAAAAACAAAAACTTTAAGAGTTATTAGTTTTTAAAACCTTACATTTACCAGACACCTTTAGGTCACTTTATAGAAGGTATCTCTCTTTCCAGAAATTTTGTTCCTAATTTTCTTAACCAGACCACAAAATACAGAAAAAAATCTCAGCTATATCCTCAGTGTCTTCTGTGTATGAACTTCACCTGCCCACCTGACTTGCAAGCATCCTGGGGAGACTTCTCGGGATTTCCCAAAGCACACAGCACAGGTCTGAGAACCTGGCACAAGACGACTGATCTCCAGACAGTAGTGTTAGACTTGACAAGGGTCAAAGCAATAAAAGCTTTGGTGAGATACGCAACTGGTATGGTTTGGGGCAACAAATTAAAAAATACACACCAGAATCCGCAGAGTGATTTCTCAGTCTAATCTTCTTTCCCATTGAGATAAGTAAAAGCATATAGTTCTTTTAATCAAATGCAAGCTAAATTAAGAAAAAAGAACAATAAAAAAGAAACCTGAATATAAGAGGAAGCCTTCACATGGAATTTATAAAGCTAAAACAGGCTATGTTTTAAAATGTGCTCAATTTTCTTAGGGGGAAGATAACATTTAATTTTAATGTGTCAAAAGTCTAAAGACACTGCTCCCCCAAACAGTAAGTACCTGTAGTTACAGAAAAAAGAAGATTTTGCTATCATTATGGAGATCTGTACTTCAGCTAAGAATATTGTTTGTTAGCCAATCATTTCATCTAGCTTTAATCTATGAGAAACAAACCCCAACATAGCCCTGCATTACAAAATCAAAGTCACAAAATTCATAAGTAAGATATACCCTACATTTATGATTTCTGAAAAGTATCCCGAGTTTGGACAAAGCTTAAATATTGTAATAAGATGAAAGAGCTCACTTCTATGTAGAAAGAAAATTTGTCTAAGTTTACTCACTGGACCCCCTATTTCACCATCTAACGCCTTTCTAACGCTTACCCACCATCTTGAAAAGAACAAAAAGTTAAGGGAAAAAGAAAAAGGGAGAAGACAGAGAGGGAAAAGACGGCTGGTTCTGATTCTTATTTTGTGACGCCTTCGATTACCTTGATTTCCTGCGGAAGTGGGAGCCACCGCACTCCGGGCAGACCATCCAACAGAACTGCACTGGAGGCCTCGTACTGCTGCGCCTCGGGACTGGCCCTGCCGTGTGGCCTGGCAGGCAGCAGTGCTCTTTGAAAGAACAGTTCGAAAAAGTGGTCCACTCGAGGGACGTTCTCAACCTGGCCGAAGGCACTGAAGGACCAAGAGCTCTGCGTTAGAACGGCACATGGCAATGGTGGCCATCTTTTGAACACTGCTAAGGGGACTGGGTCTTTCTCGCCATATCCCTAAGGATTATTGCCATGGTGTTACTGATGGAGTGTGTTAAGAAATCCACCCTGTCACAGTTTTTACCCTAAAATGTAATCTCAAATGCATGAGTAGATGGTACTATGGAAGCATCACGGGGCAAATATAAATAATGTAACTACAACAGAAAGGGCTGAGATACCCTTTTTGCAAAAAATGTAAGCTGTTTTTACCTCTGATTATCAACCATTTACAACTCTCAATATCTTGCAGGCAATATAGAAAAATCAAGAGATTTTGAGCTTTGTAATAGGACAGATCTAGCTTTGAATCTTATCATTGCACTTAAAAGGTGGCTATCACAGGAAAACTATCTAAGCTTTCTCTGAATTTCACATTCACACTTAAAGTATCTGGTATATAATTACTATAAGTACATAGTAGGCTTCTTACTTAGTAAGCACATTAATTAGCCTAAGTTATTTCCTCCCCTCTTTACTAACGAAGGCATAACTATTGGAAAACTCTGAAGAGGGGGAGAGACAACCTTGGTTTTAGCCATGGAAAAGTAATAGAGCATCGCCCGCAACCACGCATTGGAACAGTAACACAATAACTGGCATATGTCAGAATTCTAGTCATCGATTCATTCAACAAATTGCTTGAGCGCCTACTGTGCTCCAGGCACTATTCTCATTGCTGGAGGTACAGCAATGAAAATACCAAGACAAAAGACAAGGCCTCTGCTCCTGTGGAGCCCACGTTCTCGTAGAGAAAGACAAGTGAACAAACAGTAAGAACAGGAACTCTGACAAAGGACTCTACAGAGAACAGGACCATGTGAATGTGTGATGTAACCGGTTGACTATTTTAGAGCAAATGGTGGGGGAAGAGTCCCTGGGGAGGACTCTTTCCCTGACCTTGACATTAGAATGAGATCCTAATGTAAGGGGGTCCAAGGAGAGGAAAGAGCGCAAAAGCCAAAGGGGGAACAAGGGTGGCCAGACACCTGCAGAACGGTGGGTGGGGTTTGAGATCTGAAATGAGAAAGGTGGACAGGAGCCAGATAATGTAGAAAGACCACTCAAACTGCGTCTGGAAATTAATTAAAGTGGACTTGAGTTGGGGTGGTGAACACACAATACAATGTACAGATGATGTGTTATAGAGTCATATACCTGAAATCTATAAAAGTCACCCATGTCACCCCAATAAATTCAATAAAAAATCAGACTTACAAAAAATAAATTAGTTAAAGTGGCAAGAATGCAGGCAAGGAAACCAGCTGGGAGTTACTGGAGCAGTGAGAGATGGCTACGGCCAGACGGGGTAACAGTGAAGACGGAGAGACATGGATGAAGGGCTGATGCGGACTTGCCGGTGGACTGGCTGAGAATGGTGAGGGAAACTTATCCTTACTTTGGCCACAACAGTAATCTTTGTTCATGTATAATCAGTTTTCTGTGGCTCAATGGGCCTTTCATATCTTCCATTAAAAAATCCTTGTTATTAAAAGATTATTGCAAAGTGACTCTTAACAACATATTGGATCCATAGTACTTTTTGGTTTTAAGAACTCAATGTATCTTCATATTTATTGCTTGGTTTTGCCTTTCAAATTCTCACTTGAACAAGAAGCTAGTTAAAATGCTGCCAACTTGGAGATACTTCCAAATCAATGGAAGCTCTGCCTCCAACCTCCTCCACCAAAATTTGCATAACAACTCCAACGGATTATCTTCCGAACAGAAGTCATTGCAGGAATGTATTCTTTGATTATCTCGTTTTATGAAAACACAAAGCTCCAGTCAGGGCAAAACAGAGTAAGGTTTGCTTACCTAGTATAAACTTTAGGAGGTAGTTTATAACCACATCCTAACACTTAATTGGCTAAAAATTTCCTTACTAGTAAAAGGTGAAAGCCCTGTTTGTGGCTGCCTGGTCTTTCGTGGCTCACACGTTTGGAAAATGCTAATGAGTAAATAATTGGTTTTTAGAGGAAGTGCCTGCTGAACAGCTCCTGAGAGAGGACACTGCAAACCAGAGCACTCTCCCAGATGGCACAGTCACAGACATTCCTGGCGGATGCGTTGAGAACAGTGACAGCAGAGATCCACAGAGATAACAGAGAGCTGATGCCGCTGTGGTTTGGAGAAATGCATACACTGTCCTTGGATTCATATGTTGATACATGTTTAAGGCTCTGAAAGCACAGGTATCACTTTAGCTCTCTGAAATACTGGGACTTACAAACATCCCAGACAGAGAAAAATTTATTTTCCATCCATAGTTTTATGTGACCAAATATTGAACAGTTTCCTCAAAAATCCTTCTTTAGATAAAGAAAGATGCATGATATTATGTTGTAAGGTTAAAAGGTCAAGAGACAGAAAAATAGGTACTGTATGAACCCATGTGTAAAAAAGAGAGTATGCATATTCATATACATAGAAAACATATAGAAGGATACACAGGAAACTGGTCAGTACCTTCTGTATTGTGTCATTTCTTTGTTTTAACAGTGCATACTTTTTCACTTACATTTTTTTAAAAGGAAGTATCAGATTTTAGAATAGTGAATTTGACAATAGTGTTACAATCAGAGAAAAACACACACACAAAAATATTTAAAATCTCCTGTTATGAAAATGCTCTTATATTTGCCCCTACAGAAATATATCAAGTCAGAATATAATTGAGGTTACATCTTTATTTCACTAAAGTAACAAGTAACATACAAGACCAAAAAAGAAAAAGCATGGGATTAAGTGAAAAACTGCACAGAGCTGTAAAATAAGAAAGGTGGGGGATGCGTGAGCAACTCAAACGACTAACTTGCCAAGCAAGGAATAGCAGTTAAGTGCAAAACCGGTCTAGAATCATGTACTTAAAACTTGAGGTTGAGTTCAAAGACATACTTACCTATCTAAAGAACCATACATAAATTTTAAGGTTTGGGCAGCATCTTCTATCATATTCCTTAGCTGAGGAAGAGGAACTCTAAAAAAGGCATAAACACATTTGTTTACTTTTAATATAATCACATGATATATATCTAAAAGAAGTAGTCAAGTTTGTAGCCCCTGCTCAGTTCCTTAGCTGGGCCTTCCTCTCCCTCTCCACCTGCCTATGGTACCTTTATCTGCCCTTGCATTTCATTTTTCTTCTGCCTGTGGGCTTCTCCAGGAGTCTAAGGACAAGCACTTCCCGCTGCCACTGCGTCCTAAAGTGCCGTATTATGGATGTTCCACAATCCTTGTAAACCCACACCAGCTAAACCTAGCTTTTCCTAACCCAGCCCGCGGGCTTTGGGCAGTCTCCTAGAAGGGTCCTATGCTATTCCATGTGAGGGACTTGGATGCCCGTGGATTTTGGTATCCCATGTCAGGTCCCAGAACCAATCCCCTGGGGATGGCAAGGGATGACGATAGCTCCCTTTCAGACAGAAAAGCACGCGTCAGCTGTTCAAAGACAGCCACCACCTAGGGTTTGCCCCAGCACCATTATCCCTTCATGTGAAGAAGTTTGAACCCACACTTAGGACTGATCACATCTTGGGTGAAGACTGTAGTCACCTTCAAAACACATCCCTTTGATGTGTTCCACTGTAGCCTACTTTGGAGTTCCAGTTTGTGCTGTTAAAACACGTCCACAAATTGATGTGCTTCCCCCACAAGAGACAGCGTTAATTCCTTCCCCTCAAGTGAGGGCAGGGCTTAGAAACTTTAGCTAATAGTAGACAGTGGAAATGATAGGGTATCTGTTCTAAAACTAAGTCATAAAAGGCCTTGGGGCTCCCCCCACCCACGGTCTCTATTTTTGATCTTGCTTTGGGGTAAGCCCGTTGGCACGTTGTGCAGAAGCTCAAGCGGCTGCACGGAGACATCCACGTGGCCTGGAGCCGAGGCCTCCTGACGGTGCCCTGAGCATAAGCCACCTTTAGACTGTGTTCCGGCTCCCAACTTGATGGCAGCTGCAGAAAGGGAGCCCAAGCCAGGACCACCCAGCTAAGTTGCTCAGGGACTCCCTACCCACAAAAATACCTGTAAGATAATAAATGTTTCCTGTTTTAAGTCCCTAAGCTTTGGGTTAATTTGCTATGCAGGAATAAATAACTAATACACTGTTATATTATGAAAGAAATGTGGTTAACAGTCATTAGTAACTAGAATATAGTCATATTTGTCTTCAGATTGACTGGAAAATTTGTCCAAAATGGTGTTCTCTGAAGCTGGGTCAGTTACATGCTACCCTATTCATTTTACATTTGATTCCTAATTGTTAGACAACATATGACGGTTCTGTGGACCAAGAGGGAAAACTAAAGTCCATATAATAGTTTCCCAGAAATTGCCCAATTGCTTCTTAAAGTGGGCAAGTGTCTAAATCACAAGCTTTATAAATCATTGAACAGGGACACAGACCGGTCTGCCGGGAGTTAAATTCACCTCTTTGGGGCTGTTCTCCAGATTCTACCTCTTCCCCCTGCTTCTCATGTGCTAAGACATTGGGGAAGTGATCCAGTGCTAAGAATTCAGACAGACACTCGTTCAAGTTCCAACGCTGCTTCTTGCTGATTAGGTGACTTTCGGCAAGTTATTTAACTTTCTCTTTGTTTTACTTTCCTCATTTATAGAATGAGGCCAGCAATCATCAAGTCCATTGGAGCTGATTTTGAACAGTAAAGGACACTGGTTTACAAATGTAAAATATCTAACACAGTCCCTAGGTTCGTGGTCAAATCATTATTGATATTAACCCTGCTCTGACCTCAAAGTATCAAAATGAAAAAGATATATTTAAAAAATTCTCCCAAACAAGTTAAGAGGGAGACCAGGATAATATTATAAGATGTACTATTAGAGAAGTCACTTTAGGTTTAAATATTCCTTATTTTGCCAAAGGTGCTCAAGACCAGGGCAAAACACCTTTTTGCTGACTGCGATTCAAAGTCTCAACGGTACAAAACTGTAGACAGGCAAAATCCTAATCATGGTATATCCTCCAAAGTCGGCCAGAGGACAAGCTCGTCTCTCAGTGACCTCTACTGGCCACATGGCCGAGAAGAGTGATTGACAGCTCCCACCTTGCCTTCACCAGGGGGCCCTCCCAGCCCCGTCTGCGAGGTTCTTAACACAGCAACACTCCAGCTATCACACCAGCGCAACAGACCTTCAGATGGTACAGCTGTTTAAGGAGTTTGTGAAAAACGTCGAAAATGCCGTAATTTTAATGAAACAGACTTTGTAAGCCCTGTTTGAGAAGTGATTTTTAAGGTAAATAAAAATCTCAACTTACTCTTCAGCAGGCAGGCCAATTAACAACAACTTGTCAGCTTCTTTCCAATAAGCCACATTAATTTGTTTCCCGTTTAAAAGAAGGGATGAGCTAAGAAAAAAATAGAGTCAAAATAAATTTAGAACATCTTTAAATGTTATAGAATTATAAATAGTCGTTCAGGAAAGATTGCATATGGTATGATTCAAGAAACGTATGATCAGTAAGCATATTTCTTTTCATATCCCTAGCTGCCAAAGAATTGTATGACAACAAAAATATATTCCAAAATATTTCTTAAAACTCATAAAAACTAAAAAAAAAAGTAGACCTATGATAGAAAAAAAATCGTTAGGATCCCTGCACCTTGAAAACATTATGCTAAGTGAGAGAAATGACAAATAGCCATATATTATGATTCCATTCGCACACAATGTCCAGAAAAGGGAAATCCACAGACACAGAACGCAGACGAGTGGTGGTCTGGGGCTTGGGGAGGGGTCTGTGGGCCGACAGCCAAAGGTTCAGGGTTTCTGTCTGAGGTGATCCAAATGTTCTAAAATTGGTTCTGGATGCTTGCGCGTATTTGAGAATATACAAAACCACTGAACTGTGTGTCTATGAACCAGATCTCAACAAGGCTGTTTGAAAAAAGGGTGCCTGCAGCATGAGTTTATGAATGCGAATGTATACAAAATGTATACGCCAAATGGAACCTCAGTTCCTAGTGTCTTGAAAATTAGTTTTTCTGTATAGACACTATATTAGAAGTCTTACAGCTAAACATGACTTGTGCTTAGAAAAACAAGAAAATTTTTCTTCCTGTTGTTTTGCAGATCCTACTTCTTGCAAAACCAAAGAGGTGTCAGAAAAATGAAAAAAGAAAAGTTGAAGCATAGAAGATCTGATGTTTTATTAGCACTAGAGGGCTCTTAAACTTTGAGACAAACTTTTTTTGTAAAGTCAAAAACTGCTGAATTATTAAGGAAGAAAATATTTTATATTTCATAAATTTATTTATTTTATGAAAAGAGAAACCAGCCCCTAAACAACACTTAAGAGCTTTGAGCTTCCTCTTCCTGTCAGTTAACTGTGGCACTTCAAGGTTAGGGCTGCGTAAGTCCCCGTGGAATGGGATATTTTTCTATATAACTGATGACATGATGCATTTTAGTTTTCCAAAAACGATTCGACCTCAGTCTTGCTTATCCATCACTGAAAAAACTTGCCCAGATGATATTACATTCTGAATATGCCTCTTAAAGGATATTCTGTTTTTTTCTTATTATTGTTGTAAGAACTATGATAGAAAAATACAGAATAAGCATTTAGTCACTTTTACCAACCACAAAGGGATTACTCACCCAGAAAGTTAACAATCAAGATAAAAACATGAAAAAGCCTAGGTTCATCATAATGCCAAGCTTAAGATATATCTATCATGTACACAAAACAGATTCTAAAGTACAGGTCACTGGCCCGGCTTTGTGACTGAAAATGCACCAAAACACCCAGCTCTACAGTGGTGTTGCGAACCTACACTTCAAACACACGACTGGTTGAAATGACTTCGTATCTGCAGATACTGTTGAAAAACAAAGTATCTGCAGATAAATCCACACTGCATGCTTGTATACACAAGCATGCAATGTAGCTTTACCTGCATATGTGTATAATATGTAATAAGCATTTCTGGATAATGGATACTTCTATAGTATTTTGTCAGAATCAAGGCAAAGAACTTGAAAGAAAAAGAACTGATGCTAAATAAAAGTCAGTCATTACCTAGTAACTGGTGTTCCAGTTACACTTTCCAGCATGTCACACAGTGTAAGAAATATCCCTCTCACACTTTTCAGTTTCTGAGATGCGTCGGATACCGGGTAATGGTAAAGAATTTCCTGCTGTCAAATGAAAACAAACAAACATGACCACACTCCCCAAATATCCCCATCATTATTTTTTTTTGTCATGGAAAGTTCAGATTTTATATTAAGAAAAGAACAGCAACAACAGAAAGAATCCTTTCAGCTTCAGTGGGAGTTTTATTCAAACATAAGAAGGCAAATATGCCTGGAATTTTAACACATTAATTAGCATTTAAAATATTACATTTGAAAATAAGTTAGAGAATATCAGAGCTGGTCACAATACTAAAATATATACTGAGTGGGACACTAATTAATTGGAATAATTTCAACTGATTTCAAACAATGTTCTAAACTTTAATCTCCTCTATGACAAATTCTAATACTTTTTATTATATTTCATTATACAAATATTTTTACCTTCTGTAGTCAATATTCACATAGATACCACATGTAATTTTTAGGAATATCTAAATTTAATTACTTTCACACTGACTTGAAAAAGATAATTTTTGCCATTTTTTTGTGAATTCATTATTATTTATTAAATCTTTATTTAAATCCAAGACAACACTGAACTTAAAAAGTGAGAACATGGAAGTACATTAGAATAGCGCAGATAGGGAGAAAGAAGCATATGATGTTATAAAATTGTACTTGTCTTGAATTTGAAAGAGTTTGTTCACTACAATTAATCTGAAAGAAATCTTTGAAAGATAGCACATTCCAAATTATGGAAAAATACTACATCTATAAGATAATCACAAAATGCTAACTACTTTTCTGCTTTCAAGAAAAGCACGTTCTCAGGAAACATGCAGTTTTAACCAAATGACAGATTTCAAAATCAGGATGTGCAATGTGCCCAAGCTTTTACACAAAGGGATGAATCATTCTGGACCTCGCTTATTTGCTGTTACTTAAAGCAACATGCCATTTTCCTTACAAGGCAAATAAAAAGAAGGCAAAACAAAACTTCCAGATAGAAACCTTGGAGAATTCAGAGTACCTTCCACTAATACAGTTAAATGGCAATATACATAAATATGAATATAGACACTATAGAAGCCCAGTCTCCTAAAACATTACCAGATCTTTTCCCTGGTTTTTGATCTCTCTGAGTGTTCTATATCTTGTTCTGGCCTCTTTTTACAAGAAATAATTATATGACATGGTGTGTACATCTTGGCAACTTTTACACTAGGAAAAATATAAATAAACTGTACACATCTGTTTTTTATACTTAGTAATAGCACATTCGATATATGCAAATTGCTATGGAATATGTTGGCCAAATACATTCTGCCTAACAACTCAAATTTCTTCACAGTGTTTCTAGTGTAAAAACAGTTAAATGCTTTACCTCTAGAAATTAAGTCCAGTATCAGTTGAGATCTCCTGTTATGTCTTCATAATGCATTTAAAACTTGGCTAGTCAATAAACTTATTGCATTTGGCCAAATAACAAACAGCACTTGAATCAAATAACCGTATTTCCTTTGATACTTTTTCGTTTTTTGGTTAAGTTTCCAAATCATGTAACTCAAAGAAAACAAAGCTTTTCTGAAATATGTAACTCCCGTGAAAACAAAATGACCCTATGACACTTTATTGTAAAATAAAATGACCAGTAAAAAAGGTCCTTTGAGAAAACCTCTATTCCCACTGCCTGCAGCAACTGGCCCCCAGAGCCTGGCGGTGAAAGGCCTGGCTGGCCCCCACCATTCCTAACCAGCTTAATTGGCTGCATTTTCCAGCACTTGTTAGCAGCACGCATCTGCAGCAGCTTCCATTCTATTCAGGGAGAAGAAAAAGCCTCTGCTGAATACAGTGTCAATACTGGGCTGTCCACAGACAGAAACCTGCTCGCGGAGAACTGTCTACACACTTTCCCATGGGCAGACAAAAGGCCTCAGTGGTATCCTACTTGAAGACAGCCTGGAAAGGGTCGGGGTGCTGCCATCCCAGAAATTTGTTGCGTTTTATATAGCAGATGCTTAAACTTCTCATTTGTTTTGAAGATACCAAGGATTAATCATGCATGCAAGAAATCAGAATAATTAACTCTAGGTTTTGTGCATTTCAGAACACAGAAAAGTAACAAAAATACGAGTAAGTGAATCCCTTCTTTTCCACTTCAGTTACTGGCTAAATTTTGATATGTGAAGAAGTAACAGAAGAAAATCCCAACCCTGGGATAAAATGGCTGTGGCATTGAGAATACAGACTGCAAGGATTTCAAAAACAAAGAAATGTAAATTAGGTAGAAACTTCTCAGGTCTCCCTTCTGCTCCAAGCAGAATCATTATGGTGAAGTAGATGCTTTGAGAGACCCCTGTGCTATGAAACAACTAGATGCATGGCCAGCACACGCCTGTCTGAACTGCTGGGCATGGAAGAAGTAGAGAGGTTTCCAAGGACGTCCTCTCCACACCCTTCCACTCCCCTTTCCCCACCACTGCAAAGCAAGCTGGGGCCTCGGCTGGGAGTGGTGAGTGGGCAGAGGCAGGGCTGTCCCAAGGGTGGATGCCTACAATAGCTTTGATCAAGACCCTGAGTGTTGGGCTAGTGGCTCAGGAGGTGAGCAAAGCCTAAGACCCGTGTGTTAAACCCAGATCCTTGAGTCAGGCTGAAGTGCCCAGGTCAGAGGCAGAAGCAGAAGCAGTTTAGAAGCATCGCCAGTTTAGAAACACAGGACTCCCACAGATAAAAGCAAGCAGTAAGTTCAGCCAACGACATCCAAGGACATAAGAAGGCAAGCCACGGCAAGTCAGAGTCCCCTCAGGACTCAGAGACAGTGAGATGGGCAGACCCAGAACAGAGAAGAGCTCTGTATGCAATGCTTAGAGAAACAGAGATTCACTAAGATGAGCAAGCAACGGGACTGCCAGGAGTAGCACTGCAGATTTTCAGAAACTTCTAAAAATAAAACTGTGACTATTAAAATGGAAAAACACAATGGAGAGGTTAAAACCAGTATAAACAGAGCAGAATCAAGAAACTGAACAGAGAAAACAAAAGACATTCCTTACAGAGGAACGACTGACAGTAGACTTCTCAACAGCAATTATGGAAGTCGGAAGACAAAGGAATACTATCTTTGAACAGATTGCAGAAAATCACTTTCTGCCTGGTTAGCATAAGCAAGACCATGTCTTCACCTCATCTTCTTCCTGGCCACACAGGACGACTGACTACATTTCTCACCTCCTTGCATCAGGGGAGACCATATCACTAGCTCTAGGCACTGGGGCACGAGCAGAAGCGATGGTGCTACTTTGAAGACAGGCCTCAGGAATGTGCCACGTGTTACCACATGCTTCCTCTCTTCTTGCGACAGCCAACTGGAGGCCAAAGACACAGTAGAGGACACAGAAGCCCTTGGGAATAAGGGAACCACTCAATGAAGGGCTCAAAACACTGAACTGCATTGGCAGAAATGCTCACATTGAAGTGAGAAGTCAACTCACGTTACATTGAGCCACTGAGACAGGAGGGCAGGTGGCCTCTTCTGACTAATTCAATGTGTGAGAAGGGGTGAAAACCACATCAGCGGTAGATAATGAAAACAACTTATCACACACAAACTTTCACTAAAAAGAAATTCCTAAAGCACGTGTTTTGGGAAAAAGAAAAAATGATCAAGTGAGCACAGTCTGAGATGTGGGAAAGAGTGGTGAGAGGAGAAATCGGTAAGTGTGTACATAAATTTAAAGAAGGTCCACCTCCAGGAAACATGTATGAAACATGAATTTGATAATGTATAATTTATATTTTATAAAGTGTAAAATATAATAATTATTAATAATAGTACAATCATGCCCAATTTGTGGAATTAAAAAAATGATGGCCCTAAAATATCCAAGACAACAGCATGTGGGTTCGGGGGGGAATGACTGGAGCAAAGGCATTTTAAAGGCCTTGACTCATTTTGAAAAGGGTAAAGGTAATGTTTCACTTTAGAATGTGTAAGACAAATATAATACAATGTTAAGAGTGTACACAAAAAAATAGAGTATAGAATAAAAATAGTAATGACACAGGCAACCAAAATACCATGAAGCAGTCAGTTCAAACAGAATTTTTAAAGAAGACAGCAGAAACAAATTCACATCTCTACAAGTGGATTCATCGAGCTTCTCAGAAGAAACATACCAAAAACATACAGACACGGAATGACTGAGAAGCTGCGTGCTCTTCCCTTGGGAGACTGTGCAGGGTCGTCGTTCCGTGTTTCTCTCGTACCTAGAGAAGCACCTGGAGAAGCACCTGCAGCAGACACTCACCTCCTCCTTCGAAGCCTCGGAGTCCAGCTCCAGGGTGAGATACAGGACGACGTGTGGCGTGTGGAGCGCACCCTGCTCGGCGCCTTCGACCTCCTCTCCCCAGAGAAGCTTGACTAAATCCCGTTCTGTGTTGGGCTGGGCCTTTTTCTGTACTGGCTGCGTCGTTTCCTTCTTCACAGCGTATGCATTTTCAAACGTCAGTTTCACCTTTACACATTAAAACAATGCGTTGATGTTTCACCGAGGGGAAATCAGCTGCAGTTTTTGCAAAGGCGGCTCTGTACACACACACACACTCAGGCACGCACAGCGACGCCACCCTACAGTGTGGGCTCCTGGGGGGCAGAGGTTGTGCACTCTGTTCATGGTTGTATCTCGGCTCTGGCCTAGTGTCCTGCACACATTATCCCACAAACAGGAAATGCTCCAGAAAGACAAAAATCAGAGTGATCTGACAGTGTGAGAAGGGCTAGCACCACATCGTAGGCACTGAGAGCACCGACTCATCTGGGGAAAGTGACGGAGGAGGTTAGGGATTAAAAGCGACCTCATAGTCACCTATGAAGGAGTCCCCATCAGACTGTCAGCTAATTTCTCAACAGAGACCTTAGAGGCAAGAAGAGGCTGGAAAGAAGTATCCCAAGACATGAAAGGCAAGGACCTACATCAAAGATGACTCTATCCAGCAAAGCTTTCATTTAGAATAAAAGGGCAGATGAAGTGCTTCTCAGATAAGGTCAAGTTAAAGGAATTCATCATCACCAAGTCCTTACTACATAAAATGTTAAAGGGATTTATCTAAGAAGAAGAAGATAAAAATATGAACAGTGAAAAGGACAGCAAACTCACAATTCACAACCACACCTAAAACAAAAGCAAACTAAGAGGACAGCTAGATCAGAAGCAGAGCCAGAGAAATGGAGATCACATGGAGGATTAGCAATAGGGGAGTGGGAGGAGGAGAAGGTATAGAAAATAAGTAGCATAGACGGTAGGTAGAAAATAGACAGGGGGGAGGGCAAGAATAGTAGGGGAGATATAGAATCTAAAGAACTCGAGACACGTAGACATAAACTAAAGGAGGGAAGGGTGGGGGAGGGGTGTGCAGGTGGAGAGGAGTGAAGGGGGAGAATGGGACAACTGTAATGGCATAATCAATAAAACATATTATTTTTAAAAAAAAACCTCACACAACTAGAACTGGTGCTTTTTTCAAGTGAAGTGAGGCTGAAGCATCCTTCTCTAACCCTTTAGAATATGCGCGAACACAGTAAAGAACAATCAGCGTGCTGGGACTTGGCCCGCGGCCCTAAGAAAGACTATCTGTCAGTTTTACCAGGGCGGTTTTCATTTCAAGGCCTGATGTCAAACCGCACTGGCGAGCGTCCAGGTTTTGGCCCCTTCCCAGCTGCTGAAAGGTAGCCTCCACTCCTCAGTCACCTTTCCTTGCAAAAGGAGGTCTGTCGCTAGGTTGGCCGAGGATCGCCCGCTCCTCTCAAAGCACCAGTGTGTGCACTGACGAAAAGAAGTTTTCACTAGAAGGCTGAGTATAAAATTAGTGTATTTTGGGGGTGGAAATATTACGCAACTTTAAAAAATAAATAAAGATTCTACATGAGAACAATCAAGATTTATGTGATGGAAACTCATATATGGTTAAGGTGAGGAAGTTGAAGACACTGTTTCAGAAATGAGTTTAGGATGTGAAAATGGTGTCTGGCATGTGGTTTTGACCCAAACAAGCAACATGTAGGCATTATGTGGCCTGAAAGACCATTCTCTGAGGGTGGCATCTGTTGTGGTCGGTGATGCTCAATATTTGTGTGCACGAATATAAATATAAACCCAACCGTGAACACATAAAATCCTTGAGCAGGCTCTGATGAAGTAAATGGCTGGGTGGTCGGGGGCCTCTTTTATCTGTGAATGATTTAGGAGTGTCCAAATTAACGAGGGCCTCTGAGGGTGTTCCGTGGAAATGTGAGAAATCTAGAATTTGGAGAAATCCTGAGCGCCGACTTCATGACAGTTCAGACAGGACAGACGGAAGCTCTGATGTGGGTTCTCAGGCGCTGGGCTGGGGGGAGGCCCGGGGGCAGGGGGACTTGGCTGCACAGAGGAGCGACACCCTAGTGAAGCAGGTGTCGCAGAGATGGGCTGGGTCTGTGCTGTGCTGGGAAGCAGCAGACAGGTGGTCCTCGGAGACGGCAACCTCAGAACAGGGAAGGCAGTGATTCCCCAGCAACGACAAAAGGAAATGACTTGTAGACTTCAAGTAACACTTCGCCAGGTTTACTTCAGGCAGCAGCAGCAACCTAACACGTAAGACCAGATCCTGGAAAACCAGCGTCAGTGCTGCACTTGGCAAACAGCAGCGCTCTCTGTGGTCCGAGGACCTTTCCCCACCGTTACAGACTCAAACCAATACACGCACCACAGGGCCGGCCATGAAAGGTCTCAGGGAACTATTTTGGCCACCCTTCTTCAGATTTAAATCAGGTTGGCTCTGTAACTCAAAAATAATTACACTTCAGCAAGACATTCTGAAGAAGTTTACACGCTAAGTGCTGTACGCGTTGGCAGACCTGGTTGCCTTGATAAAATAATAAAGAAGGAGATAGATAACCAAATGAGGAGTTAAGTGCTACTTTGAAAAGGGAGTTGATGCATGTAAATGTTAGGATATTATATGTTTTACAGGAAAAGAAACCTTTCAAAACATCTCATATAAGATAATTTATATGAGGCTTCTTATAAAAAGAGGTTCCTGTTGTTCTTGCACAGAGATAAACCGTGAATGGTTTCATGGTTCCATACCTCCTGTCTCCCTCAAAATGGTCTCAGATTTGCACAGTTTGTCTGTCCGTTCTCTCTTCTTCTCCCAGCTCCGGAGAAGATGTGCCTGTCCTCAGGTCTGGGGACATGTTCTCTACAACTCCTCACTTCCAAAATCATTGTTTTAATGTTCCTTCTTTCCACGTCTATCCCATTAACTCATCCCATTTAACAAGCGCCTTCCCTCTCCTTGACCCTCTGCCCTTCTGGGCAGTCTCACTGAATTACTCGAGACGCAACCTGGAAGGCACCTTGGACTCCTCTCTGTCCTGCAGAAGAACTATCCCCTTTGCCTCCCACCTGTCTGAAATGGAGCCTCCTCCTCTCGTATATATATCCTCAGCCAACACCTCACCTCAGCCGTCATCCCCTCTCTTCCAGACTCCTCCAAAGCAGACCACCTGGTGCCCAGCCTCCAGTCCCGCCCAGAGCGATACACTCCTAAAATGCAAATCCGCTACACTTTTAATTTTACATTTCCAAAGATAGCTGAATTGAGAAAGAGACAGAGAGGGAGGGACGGAGCAAGGGAGACAGACAGACAGAGCGAAGGAGAGGGAGACTGATTTAACAAAGGCAGTGAGTGTAGGAAAATCCTATTTCTTAGAAAACAAGTTTCATCATGTGTCCTAATATGCTGGAATCTCAGATCAGATGCAGATCAGATTCTGATTTGTCAGGGATTCTGTTCATCCCGATCAGTCTCCAAAACTGCGTCACCCGCTTACCACCTGAGGGGAGTCTCTCACCTACGTCCTCCTTGCCCCTTGAAAGAGAGAAAGTGAATTCTTCAGGCCAACGAGAGCAGAACATTCTTACATAAGAGGTACAGCACTCTCAAAATACATCTAATGACCCGAAAATGCCATCTCAGATACAAAAATGTCAACGCTTGGAGTATCAAAATCCCTTAATATGAAAGAGATCTATTTTTACCTGCAAGGAATGAAACATAATTCATTAAATAGCTAAACAAAAACTCAGGAGCAAGGCTAAACTAGATAACAGAAAAATCAAGAGGAGAGTATGGTTTTTAAAATAAATAAAGCCACAGAAAAAAACTTGATAGCAATAATGATTTTACCAAGTCAGAGAACAAACAGTTCCATGACTATTTCAAATGACTTTTCTAGGAACTGGATTTTCATCAGCACAAATGGTATTATGACGGCAAGTTGGTCAACATGTATGTTTTTATTATCATTCTTCTTCCTGCTTTACTTAGGATAAGTTTTATTTGAAAATTCTATCTCTCATTCTTTTTTTTAAACAATATTTATCTATTTATTTTTCAGAGAGAGGGGAAAGGAGGGAGGAAGAGAAGGGGAGAAACATCAATGCAAGAGAGAGAAACACTGATCAGTTGCCTCCCGTAGGCATGCCAAACCAGGGATTGAACCCACAACCCTGGCATGTGCCCTGACTGGGAATCAAACCAACAACCTCTCGCTTTGCGGGACGACACCCAACCCACTGAGCCACACCAGTCAGGGCATACTGTTCTCTTTTAAGAACACTCCCCAAGACCTAAAAATCTTAACGATCTAAAACATTTTAAATACCCAAGTATGTAAGTAGAACTCACCCATTAAGCATGATAATTTCCAGAATCTTTAAAAGAGAAAATAGTGCAAGATGCACTTAATTTATGTAATTCATCGTAAGAACCAAAGAGCGTCCATACCTGCATAGGTCCAGGAATGCAAGACAGAACCCTCTCTATGTTCTCAGAAGTCACGTCGACATCGTTCACAGCAACAAGGACATCGCCTGGAGAAAACGTAACAATAGAGGGTAGCTGTGTGAACATCCCCAAGCCAAAAAGATCTAGGACTGCAGCATTGCAAAGCATCTGTTCCGACCTCTTTGAAGGACAGTGGAAAACATGGTGCCGACATCCAGGGGCTCGTCCAGGGTTATAAAGCTCACTGGCGGCAGAGCAAATCTCCGACTCCGCGCTTTCCTAAACTGTACTACAGCCCAACACTGCACCATGACTGAACACAACCTATGAGTATTTAAAGACAGGAATATTCTCATTTTTGAGACAATTGGAGGAATTATGGAAGCCCAGATGATAAGTGGAAAATTTGTAGCATAAACCAAGCATCGGCACATAACAAAACTGAATTTAACCACTTATACCCACAGTAAAAAAGTTCAGCTGCAATTCGAATAAATCCTTGCAGTGCACGGTAACTTGATATGCTGTGGTGCTCATTGTTACCGATCTGTGTCTGCACACAGCTCTGTGTTTCAAAGGCCCCCCATACATATCAAAATCCACAGCATGTTTTGGTAAAAATCTCCTTTGAAATGGTTTTTCTTTAAACTTGTATGTTTATACATTTGGGGGCTTTGATATAAAAAGGATCAGTCTTAAGATGGAAATTTACTTTCACATCATAATTAAGAGTAGTATCAAAACACCACTAAGCTACAGTAATAGAAATATACATATAACAAGGTTATTTCTCATCATAAATGTATCACTACGAATCTGATCAAATAACTCATACTTACCCACTCATTAATTCATCCTACAAATATTCATTGAGCACCTACTGTGTGCCAGGCACTGCAGATAGAGAACTGAATTACACAGACATAAATCTCTTCATGGAGCTTAATATTCTTTGGGGAAGATGGGCAGTAAACATGTATATAGATAAAATAGTGCTGATAGACAATTCTCCATTGGTTTGGTCTCTCATGGTTTGCCTATCTTGCAAACCACAGCACTGAGAGTCTTTGTTCTGGTTTGTCATTTAAGGATGCTTGCATGAGCGGGACCCCCCCCCCAAAAAAAAAACCCCAAATTATCTTCTGGAGGGCAGGCCCCTTGTGATACAGGCTTCCTCCGCCAGGTAAGTGTTCTGGGAACCCATCTGTATCTGTGTACCAGCTGGTGTTATTGTGAGAAGCTGTGTCTGGCTTCACTGGATTTTTTTTGGAGACTCATTCGATTCATTTGCCCATTTCATGATGGGTGATTTACGAGTGCACCTGCCCATAGTTTTTGACCCAAAACAGCATGACCCCTGTGCCCTACCCCACCTATTCACCTGATCTCACCCCAAGCCACTTTTTTTGTTTCCCTGGATGAAAAAGTCCTCAAAGTGAAGTGCTTTGCCAGTGTGGAAGAGGTGAAACCAAAAAAGGCAGAAGCACTAAAAGGCATTAAAATGGACGAGTTCAAAAAGCGTTTGGGCCAGTAGAAAAAATGTCTCGATAGGTGTATTGTATCACATGGAGAGTACTCTGAAGGTGACTGAAGTTTAAACACATGAGAATGCACAGTTTTTTATAAATAAGTTCTGTGCTTGGGTGGTCCCCGTTGCACACCGAACAGCCTTGGGTGACAAAGGTGGTGTCTCCCTCCAGAGAAAAGGTCAAGTTTGCTCAATGTACAGTATCAAGAGAGTGCTCCCTCAATATCTTACTACCAGTATTTGTTCTTTACAGAAGATTCATGTTCCTTAAGGTCAAAGTTGCTCTCCCTTTAACACAACTCACTACAGGTATGTGTGCAGGGTCACCTGGCCCTCTTCATGTGGCCCTGGAGTGGGGGTTATGGAACAGGTGAAAAGGCTGTCCCTTTAGCTCTGCTATTCCCCCCTCTCTGCCGGCCTCCCGTGCTCTCCCTGACCCTCTAGCACAGGAGAAGGGGTCGGGTGCAGAGTGAGCAGCGGACCTTGCAGGTCATCACCGTGAGGGCCCTCAACAGCCTGCCCTAGGGTTCCAGCTGCTCGGTTCACAGTTCTGCAGGTGCGGGCACTGAGGCCGTATGACGGCCGACCACCGCAGCCCTCTGAGCAGCCTGGTAACTTCTCTTAAAAGTAGGAACTTGCAAACTAAACTTCCAACTTCAGGTTAAGCTGGTGGTAGGGGGAAGCAACATATCCCCCATTTTTTAAAAACAGGAGATTAAACAAATGTACTATATCACATGATTTGTGGCTGTAGATTTTTTAGAAAGAAATAATGAAGGATATTGGAGTACTGACACAAGACAAAACCACTTCTAGACCATTCTATCCATGGGCTCCACTGTCCATAAGATGATCAGAACACCTACGCAGTGACACCATTTAAAACTTGCTCCTTTAGAGCAAAACTCCATCGGATAATGTTCCAAATGACCCCTCTCCAAACCCTGACGAACACAGTTCTGCAGCTGAGTGTCCCCTGAGAGGACATCACGTCTCCTCAGCCTCTGAAAGTAGGAGACCAGTATCAGCATAGAAGATCTGCAAATACATTTTAGAGTTAAGTGTAGTGCAATACTTTTAAGTGGAAAATTTTATCTCTGTAGAAGCAGTGTCACACCTGCTTCTCCTTCTCCTAGAGATTTGCCTCCTCGAGTGTCCTGAGCCTGTTGTGAGGTGACTCGGAGAAGGCAGGCGTCCCGGGCGTCACGTCCTGGCAGCTGGCAGCTGCACTGGTGGAAAGTTCTTTCTCCACAAGCGCAGGGGAGTCACCAGGACGCACTGTCCCGTTTCAAAGGCTGAAAGGAACCCGGCTGCATGAACTGGTTTCAAGTGTTAAATAAGAAGTGGTCTAGGGATTAGTGGCAGGTAGAAAAAAGAAGAAACATTGATCAAGAGATACCGTCAGGAATCAAATACAGCATAAAAAGGTGAGATCAGTTTATCACAGTGCTTAAATCAATTCCTCAGTGTAAAGTTAATCATCTGAGAAAACCTATCAATTCCTCAACATCTGGCAAACAGCAACTGTGTCCTGAAGGGCTACTTCGTGAGGTCCCACGGGCTATGAAAATATGCTAAAGTTTGTTTACTGCTGTTTGTATCGTGCTCTGTTATATTACATGAAATGAGTATACAGCTTAAGAAATTACTTTGGAAACAAATGACACATAAATGTAGGGAAAAGAATAGATCTTACCAAAGCAAACAGAAACCACAAAAAAACACCAACCCACTGTGGCAGACGGAGTAACCATCGTCCAAAGATATCCACATTGCCATCTGTGAATGCGTTCCCCTGCCGTGGCAACGGAGACTTTGCAGGTGTACTTAGTTAGGTTAAGGACCCTGAGGTGGGGAGAAGACCCAAGTGAGCCTAAGTGAGGGTCTTTATAGGAGGGAGACGGGAGGGTCAGAGTCAGAGAAACTTCAGGGTCCCACACCAAAAGCTTTGAAGATGCAGGAAGAAAACTATAAGACAAAGAACGCACATGGCCTCTGGAAGCTGGCCAAGGGAAGGGGTTCCCTGTGGGATCTCTGTAAGGAATGCAGCCCCGTGGGTGCTTTTTTTGTGCAGGAAGAAACATTCTAGACATCTGACTTCCAGAACTACACGATGATGAATTTGTGCCTTCTTAAACCACTAAGTTTGTGGTGATTTGTCATAGCAGCAATAAAAATGAATACACCCTGCTAGACACACAAAGCAATGTGGGCTAAGCACGAACTGAGTCAGGGACCACGAATGTTTAAAGAACTGAGATGGATACACAAGGTGCCTTTGGTGGTCATGGGGAAAACATAAATCAGTCTGGTTAGAAGGGGGGACCTCTGCACAGAAGGACTGGGAAAGCGGCATCCGACAGCAGGGTGGGTCAGACTGTGACTCTACACTGATCCTTTAAATTAAGCCCAATTTGACTTCAGGGGGAAGAGAATCTGGGTTTTGGAACACAGTTCCCATACTGACATTTTATAGACTTAAGTTAATGCATTAAAGCTTCATGTATTTACTGACAAATTCTCAAGTTTTAAGATAATGATTTTTATTATCTTTTTTGAGTTGGAATATCAATTCCTCAGCTGTAATCTGCAAGTACTAAAGCAGAGGAAAGAAAGGGCTCTGCCCATCTACCATTCTAGAAGTTCTTGAATAATGGTAGCTCATACATTGTAACTATCAATCGGGACATTTGACTCGGTAAAATACCCCATTCCCTGGTGATGCTGCACAAGTTAATGCAGCTTTTATTTCTCATTGAAACAGAAAGTACTGCAGAAATGTTGGGAAAATCATCAGTGACCCTAACACTACTGCCACGATCATGCTTGCAAATTATTTTTAGTCTTTACCTGTGTTCACACCAATGAGGTATCAAAGACATTTATCCTTTTAAACCTCTCAATAAATAAAAACTTTTGTACTGGTACATAGTTTTTATAATTATAATTTTACCAGTCGAGTAACATAGATTTATTAAATTATAATTTAAACAACAATAACCTTGTTTGACATTTTCATGCTAAAAAATGGTTCAACAAACAGTTCCAGCACAGTTTTCCCTCCTTTTATATCTGGGGTCAGCAAACTTCCTCTACAAAGGGTAAGCAGTATCTCAGGCGCTGCAGGCCATATGGTCTTTGTCACAACTGCCAAAATCTGCGGCTGCCCAGGTCTCTGACACAAATGGTGGGCTGTTTGCACAAGCTGCACACCTCATCCCACATACTTTGAACCATCTCTAGATTACCTGTAATGCCTGATGCAGTGTGGATGCTTTGTAAACAGGTGTCCTACTGCAGTATTTAGGGAATAATGACAAGAAAAAAGTCTGTGCATGTTCAGTACAGGTACAACCACCACAGGCCCAACTACACAGTACTCATCAGCAATAAAGTAACAATTGTTGGAGTGCCTCCCAGGAGAGGTTGGTTGAATCCGCAGATGGGGAACCCGGGGTATAAAGGGCTGTGTGTAGCATTAGCCGGGAACTCCCATCACACGGAACCCTAAAATTACAGGGTCAGCGACAGCCAGGCAGGACTTCATAAGCACAAATTCTGGCCTCCTCTGACAGAACTAAAAGAAACAACTGTGGAGATATTTTGGCCCAATCCTACCATATTCCAAAAAGAAAGTTGAGGATCTGAGAGAGTGTAAATGGCTGCGTAACGAATCACTCCCCCCAAACTCAGTAGCTTAAAACAACAATGATTTTTAACTACGTGTGGTGATGTATGAACTAGACTTACTGGGGTTATTACTTCACAAATATCGAAGCATTATGATGGACACTTGAAACTGATATCATGTTATACGTCACCATACCTCAGTAACGAAACAAAACGAACAGCCACCATTTATCATCTCCCCCAGTTCTGGGATCAACTGGGCTCCGCTGATGTTCTCACTCAGGGCTCCTCCTGTCGTGGCAGCCAGACGGTGGCTGGGGCTGGAGTACCGGGAAGGCTTCTTCACTCGCATCTGGTGGCTGTTGCTGTGGTGGCTGGGGCCACTGGACAGGACTCTGCTGATGGCCTTTTCACTCGGCCTTGCCTCCCTCACAGAAGGGCGACCGGGTTCCAAGAAAACCAGGCAGAAGCAGCATCACCTTTGCCTTAATAACACCTCCTAAGTCACCCAGCAGCACCTAAGCTGTAGTCGCAGGCCCACCCAGATTCAGGGGGGTGGGCGGGGGGAGACATGCAGGCCATAGCTCTCCAGGGGATGAGGATCAGCGTGACGCTGTAAGAGGAGAGTGTGGAGATCCTGTTGCAACCCTCCTTTGCCCAGCTGCCCTTCCCACACAAGTGGTCCCTGCAAACCCCCATCACGGCACCTGCCCTGCTGCGTGAACCCACCAGCCGATTCCGGCCCAGCCACTCCTCTCCAGGAGGAGCTCCAGGACAGGGGTGTTCAGGTCACTAACCTTTGTATTCCTGGCACTCGGAAGATGCTCAAAAACATTTGTTGAATCAGTGAACACAGAAGTCAAATTTAGACTTAATTTAAAAACAGTTTCAAATGTTTCTAAAGCATCAGCAAAAGTTCCTTTGTCTAAATCTCCTAGGCTAGATCGACTTAAGACTGTGAGCTTTTAGCATTGTTAATACCTTTAAGTTTTACTCATAATATAATTCTTGCATTTGTCTAATTTATCTTTAAGTAATAAAGTGACTACTAAGTCGAACGCCAAATGCTCATCTTAGTATATGTTCAGAATAACTTGTGAATTTATTTTTCCCCCCTCAAAATTGGAGGAACATTTTATGGCAAGCACCCGAAAAAGGAAATTTCTGTACAACACCACTGTTGCTAAATATGCCAAATAAAACAGTTAAAACCACTCCAAGGTCTTAGTGCACTCAAGTGCAAACATACAATTTTCAAGTATTTTTATTCATAAATTATACATTTTTGTGTCATGTTATTGGATATAGGTCATTCAACCCTAAATTATCACTGTGCAATCAGCTTATTTTCTTTTACGTGTCAGCACATATAACCAAGATGACATAAAAGTATATAATTTAAAACTCAAAAATCGGTTAAGCTCTCCCCTGGCCCGAGCAAGGCGCACACGTACACTAATGGCACTGAAGCACTTTAGTTTCTTTCCGGAACACTGTGCCTGGTAGCACAGCGCCCTTAATGATGCCACTTCGGTCCCAGGGGTCACCGTGTAGCCCAGGGTCTGTTCAGACGCTGGCGGTACCTCTGTTTGATCACGGTCCTCACAAGGTGTCACTAACCGCCATCTCGGCAAACAAGCCCGGACGGTCAGCAGAGGCACTTACCGATGAACACCTGCCCGCTCTTCATGGCCGGCCCTCCCGGCAGCAGCCCGTGGACCACCAGCCTCTCCCCGCCCGCCTGCTGCTTTCCAGCTCGTCTCCAGCTCCACTTGGTCTGATGGATGACCCCAACCAGCACTTCCAGCAGCTTGAGCTGCTCTTTGGCTTTGGTGATCGTTAGCTTTTTGGGGTTCACACACACATTCACGTCCTTGTACCTCTGTTGGACAAGGACCCCCGTCTTCTGGTGGGGCTGATGCTTCAGAATGGAGACCGGCCCGCTGTCTTTGCTGTTTTTCTTATTGTTGCGCTTGGGCAAAAGTCTTTTACTTTTTAAAATTTTGGTGAACCGCTTGAGTCTGGGCTCATACTTTCTTCCTTCTCTGTAATCATCCTCTTCAATGATGATCTCGTTTTCACTGAACCGGACATGGTTCACCACAGGCGGCTCAGGAAGGAGGCTTTCCTCCTCGCCCTCGCTCAGTTCCAAGTAAAACAGCTCCCCATTCTTCTGCACGCTGTCCAGCCACTCGGGCTCAAGGTCACTGGGGAAAAAAGAAAGAAAAGATCATCTGAAGAGCAGTGGAACGTACAAGAAACAGCTATGTCCTCCTGGCGCAGGGGTGAGGGTGGGGGCAGGGTGCAGGGAGGTGGGAGATGTAAAAGTTCCTTGATTATTAGAATCTCATTATCCCTAACTTATTGTGAGCACCCATAGTTTATTCTGGAGGATGGTTTTTGTAGCACTTTGAAGAATGGGTTTTGGGAGAAGGAATCTACAAGGACTGAAAAGCAAACAAAAAAATGAGATGGTCCCTTTCCAGAATCTAAGTTTTTGTTTTTTTAAAGAAATTTAGTTCGGCCCCCGTGTGGTTGTTATTCACATCACACAATGTCCCTGGATAATAATTCACATTAGTAGTTGATTATGCAATTATATTCACAGACAGAAGCCACTTGGAAATTGTACGTATAAATACACTATTTGCAGAGAAATTTTTCAGTGTGGCTGTCATGTTAAAATGAAGGCTGAAGACCAGTACTGATAGCCTTTGTTTAGTAATAAAAGAAACACTCCCTTCACCATTAATAGAAATCATTGCTGAAAACAACCAGTTCATAATCACAATTAATCACTTCTATAGCCTATAATTTCTGTAAAACTCCTTTTTACAAATAACTGTAGTAGGAAAAGTAAACCAACTATCACATAATTCATCGTGTGATTGTAAAAAAAAAAACCTTTTAACTGGGAAACAAGCCACTGAAAGAAATAAAATTATCGCCACTAAAAATGACTGACATAGCATTAAAAACAAAAATACTCATCTTAAGCTAACATACCTAATCATAAACTCCACCCTTTTCGGTGGTACCAGCACTGACTTTTCAAACTGCTATTCTCTAAAGCAAAACTGGCTACAGTGGAAAAACCACTAGTGGAGAGAGTCCTTTTGGAAACATGAGCTGTAATATCCTGGCATGAAAGGGTGTAATTTGTGTCTAATAGTTCAATCAGAGACGACAGTTTGGTGCGTACCAGCAATTCTCATTCTTTTAACTCGAGTCTCCTTCTAAGCACTGTGAAAATCGGTCCAAAAATGCACTTCTCTATAACTCAACGCTGAAACTAACTACTGCCTCAGTCTGTGGTTGGCAATTAACACATAATTTTCAACTACATGCGAAAGGTGCAACAAGGGCACAACTAGCCCCAAAGAGCCAACCCAGTATTTCTTTGGCACTTGTTGGTTGCCGGTGTGTGGCATCGTTTAGGCAATTGGCACCAGCTCCTGCAGGTCATTCATCACACATCAGTTGCTCCAATCACCCCACCTGTACCTGCAGAAGTCAGTGTTTCATAACTGCACTCTGCTCTGACGGGACAACCTAAACAACTGTGTCACCACCGTAAAACTTTCTGATAGCAATGGCACCACAATTTTAAAAACCACGATATAAATACCATGATTATACACAACTACTTAAAGAAGATATAGATTGATGTAAACAATGAACGGACATGTTTGTTTTATAATCCCAAATCTCACTCTTTAATCTGGTATGTTATTTGCATTACAAGTACAGTATAAGACCCAAACAAAACATTTACCCCTATCTATTAAATGTGAAGTTTATTTCAATCTCTAAAATCTAAATATGAAACCACTTTTTGGTTATGATTTAAACATCTGTGCAAGTTGCGGGGGGCAGTGCTCAGGGGGTGGCATTCAACCACAGAGCAAATAAACAGAGCCAGGCACAAGAGTAATCTAGAACTACAACGATGAAAACATCAGTCCCTTCCCTTGTCTGGTGGGGAAGAGGAACTGAGCAAGAATTCATGACAATACACATGGTAAGTACTACAAAGGGGTCATTGAGCTTAGCCAGAGACTAAGGGGGAGGTAGGGAAGACTTTCTGGTAGATGAGACCCCAGACATGAGGTTTTCTTTCTCACTGATTTAATCTTTATTATTTTTTCTACTACCATTTAGTCCCCTTATTACCCCCCCCCCCCCAAATCACTACACTGTTGTCCACTGCACTTGAGTTTTAAAAGAATAAGGGACCAGGGAAAGGAGTCTGGGGAGCAGATAAAGAAGAGAACTCCAAAAACAAGTAACAGCATAAGCAAAGGCCTTGGGCAACAGTCTGCGTGGCCGGTGTGGACAACCTAAGGTAGCCTGCGGTGGCCGGAGCTTAACTCAGGAGTGACAACAGGAGGAGCAGCCAAGGCCTGATTTTGCGCGGCCTTTGGACCATGGCAAAGGGGTTGGGATTTTCAGTGGAGCTAAGAGGGCATCGATCAAGTTCATGTTTACCTGTCAGCTATCCTTGGATAGATCTACTCTGACAAGAGGGCAGAGACCGATTTGAGGTGCTGAGACTCAAGACAAGAAACCATTTAGGGGGCTTTTTTTGGTCACCCAAGCAGAGACAATAACGAAGTCAAAGGCAGAAAAAAAAGAAAAACAGGAAAAACATTTAAGAAATGCTGGAGAATCACCCAGACTATGAGACGGATTAGGGGAGAGGATGACAGAGAGGAAAGGATGAATGTCGACCAGATTTCTAGCTGGCGACTGCTTTCGTGCACCGTTTCACGTACACAGACGCACAGACTCACTCTACATAGACGGGACGCAGTCACCACACACGGCATCTTCCCTCCCTACATTTCATGACATAAACAGTACTAAAAATCTATGTTCTTACAATCACATAAAAGCACATAGGATTGTTCTGTCATTGTTTCTAAAAAGTAGAAATGTATGTTTGTATCACTTTCATTTATCAATATAACAATACAATTCAGAAATCCCCAATGGCTGCATTAATTGTCCTCATCAGCGCTGTAAGACATTTGGTCATCCATCTATTGATGGGCTTTGTGCTTGGTTTCCAGCCCCGCCCCCCACCGTGGACAACAATAATCACCTTTACAGGTCTGTGCATGCAGAGACCTTTGCCCAAAAGACCCATCTACATGTCCAACACAACACATGAGATCCATTTTCTCAACATTTAGGGTAAAACCACTTCACTTTAAGAGGAAGAAGAAATTTTTTTAAAAAGAAAAATTACAGGAAGGGAGTAGAGAGACAGGAAGAATGACAGGAAATAAACCTGAGACTCTGTAAAAGAAGGTGATGCATAGTGAAAAGAAAATGAACCAAGAAGACACGGAGACATTGGTTCTTTGTGTAGACAGTCCCTACTCCAGGAGAAAGAGCTTAATCTCTCCTCCCCATGAGCGCAGACTGGATTTAGTGATGTGCTTCCAAAGAACAGACCGTGGAAAGGGAAAAACAGCAACCACTGTGGAGAAACCTGGCTGACATCACCCCAACCAAGAGATGCAGGTTATGAAACACAAGGGAGGACCGAGAACAGCCACAGACCAGAAGAGACTAAGGGCACTTGATCACTAAATGCGATACAATATCCTGGATTGGATTCTGGAACAGAAAAAGGGCATAAGTAGAGGAATGGTGAAATCCAAAGAAAGTCTGGAGTTTACTTAACGGCACAGTGCCAGTGTTAATGTCTTCGTGTTGAATAACGTGCCATAACTGCGTGAGATGTTATCAGCATCAGGGCAAACCCACTAAAGGACATGAAGGAACTCTACTATCTTGGCAACTTTGCTGTGAATCTAAACTTACTCTAAAACAAACGGTTTACTTTAAAAAAGGAATTAAAACTAGCAGTTTTAATTCAGATTTTTGTAAAATATGGGTCACAATAATCAATATTAATATAAATACTCTTTCATCTCTTTTCTGAGATGCCCATGGTACAATGACAAGCTGTAAAGTTGTCATTGTGTATATGCCTCTCAGTGAGGTTCTTATTTTGTTTAGTCTATTTTGTTCTCATCAGAAATAACTGTGTAGTTACAGTTATAGTCCAAGTTTGATGGATATATATATATTTTTCTGAATTACAAAATACTTTGAAGTAACGAATTTTCCTGACATAAGGTTCTTGGATGGTTCATTTCCTAGGAAACACAACTAGCTTATTCATCTTTCAATTCTATCCCAATCAGGGTGCCCCAGTTGAAATCAGGTCTCCTGAGTTCCTATAATGACCACATTCAGCTGTGTGGCTATAAGCAAGTGACAGATTCTCTCTGAGCTAGAAGTATATGACTTTAAGATGTAGGCAAACCAATACTTTGAGTCTCACTGCCTATAGTTCTCTTAGCAAGACCAAATCGGTTCCATGAAATTCAGACCTCCTTCTGGCAGCTTCGATTGATAACCATGAATTTTCTAATTATTTAAAAATAATGACAGTAGTAGATTATGCAAAATATGTGATATTCTTAAATTTGTTCAAGTCTTCAAGAATGTGATCTGTCCTCATTAAGCCTCTAGAGAAGGCGTATCCAACATTTTGGCATCCTGGGCCTCACTGGAAGAAGAGTTGTCTTGGGCCACACATAAATACACTGCAGCACGCAATCACCCACACAAAAATCTCATAATGTTTTAAGTAAATTTACGATTTAGTGTTGGGCCGCATTCATAGCCATCCTGGGCATCGTGTGGCCCGTGGGCCACAGGTTGGACACCCCTGCTCCGGAGTATATTAAGTAGCTTTAGTAATGCTTTTCCTCCATGTTTTTAAAGACAATGAAAAATGTTTTACATACTTATAGATGACAGTAATTGCCAAGTAACTGTTACTCCTAATACACATAAAAAATGTCATCCTAAAAGTGACGTATATGGCAATCCATTATAGGGCAGGTTGGTTGATGTTTTGGCACCTGGACCTTTCAGTCTTTGTCATTTCAAGCTACCGCTAAGTGACTTTTCCAACAAGTTCTTAATCCATAGTAGTAATGGATAGAGATTCCCTTAAAACAGAGGCAGTACTGTGAAGCAAAGTAATTTTTCATTATTATTAAGGTTAAAAAAGTGGAAAGCAATAGTTAGGTATTCTGCATTTTAAAAATTATATTATGATAAAAGAACACAAACAAGAAAACCATGAGGGTATATAGGAAAATATAGGAAAAACACCCCCAAAATGGTAAGAGCAGTTGCCCTCCACTGTGAAACTATGGATTTTCTTTCTTTTACACATATATTAATTTTTATAACAGGAAAAAACTACGTACTTTAAATAGCTGTATTATGAAACCTGTAGGGTGTCCTTTTGCTCTCAGTACTAATGAGGTTGAAGTCACAAACACCATGATGCTAAAAAAGCAAGAAGACACTGCAACAGGGCAGTTTTATGAACACAGGAGTGTCAACTCATTTTCACCGGCGGCCACATCAGCCTCGGCTGCCTTCACAGGGCCGAATGTAATTTCAACTCCTTAACAGTTAAGGAGTAGTTACATTAATACAGTCCTAAAATTATTTCGGCCCTTTGAAGGCAACTGTAAGACTGATGTGGCCCCCAGTGAAAATGAGTTTGACACCCCTGCTCTAACAGACAAACCCTCATATATTATGGAATCCACCAGAAAGAGGAGAGATTCCTCATCTGAGAATCCTAAAAAACCTACAGTAGCAAAGAATGGCACCTCATTTCGGCTCATGATATAACACAACTGAAACGTGGCACAAATAAATCCCGCTTACTGTGGAACAGCGATCTTCAAGAGATGTGCCACAAGACTTTTAAAAACCTGCAGCACCTGATTATTTAGTCAGGGACACTGACCTCCTTTACCTTGGATTGACAAATAAAAAAATGACAACAGCCAACACAATTGCCATCCAGCGTAAATGAATCAAAATTATAGCTATTTTTTACCAGACTGGCAAAAAAAGCGTTTTTTGTTGTGGCCCAGAATTTTAGCAACTACTTTTTGTGTGCCATGACATGAAAATGGTGGAAAATCGCTGCTATTTAAGGTCACTTAGTCCCAACCACCCAAAACTCCGCAGTCCCCCAACCCACGTGCACACTCCACTCTGGGCACCGAAGGGATGGATTTCATTGTCCCTCTTCCAGAACCTTACTCGTAATCGCTACTGGCGGACGAATAGGAACCCGAGTCGCTCGCCCCATCTTCAGGATCACAGTCCTCATCTTCCTGCGGAGACAGGTCTCCAAGGAGCCCCTCTGGGCTCTGACCGGAACCGCACAAAGCCGCAGTCGCCATCAGCGGAGATGCAGCAGCCACAGTAGAGCGATTCAAATTTCACATCTACTACTTGCCAGAGCCGCCATGTTTCCTTCGCTACAGAGGCGGCACAGGCCACGTGATCACCAATCCTTGGCTGCAATTGGTGGCAGCTGAGGTTGCCAAGGAGACAGAGAAGCTTCCCCGGGAAGATTAGGAAGACTGAAAGGAGCCAATGAGCTGAAATTTCTGGGAGGGCGTGTCGGAGGAATGGAAGTAGCTAAAATTCCGCATGCTCTCCTCTTAAGCTCGCTTCTCTGGAGCAGTGTACTTAGTAAAACAGGTGGAGACCCAGTTTTTTTCCCCCCTCCGGTTAGCACTTTGTTTCTCCGCCGAAGAGCTGTCGGAACATTAGAGACTCTCAGCCTGCGTTTCCTTTGAGATAAAGGAAATTACCTTCTGCCTTCCTCAGGGCTTCTGCGTCTGATCTGGGAAGGGATGCTGTTAAGCAGTACTCTCCAGGTGTTAATGCAAACATTGCTTTACGCGCAATGCATACACGCCATTGCTTCTTTGGTTTTCTTATTGTTTCGCATTTGTAAACATTGCTACAGTTCTCCCAAGCAGACATTGTAGACAGGCACTTCAAATAGGTGACAATATTGTGAAGTCAGCTAAGTCAAATGCTGTGTCAAATCAGCTAAGTCAATATTGTGAAATTTTCTAAGTCAAAAATTTATAATATAATAAAGTGTTCTCATCACTAAAACAGGTTTTACCTGTCACTTGCAAAAACCTACACAGGTATTTTTTAAAGCACAAAATAGCTAGCATTTATTGAGTTAGACATTGCTCTAATTACTTGTTCTATTCATACTGTGCTAAATAGTCACATACTATGAAGTAAATACCTTACACGAACCAAATCCAAACAAGAATCAAACTTAAAAGTCAATAACCACTGGATGGTAAAGAGTGCAAATAACATTTATAAAAGGGGAAAGCTGAAAGCAATCTAAATGTTCAACAATAGCGGGAAAATTTTTATACACTTATATATATGAATATTATGATCTTAACATAAATTTTTTAAAGAGGAATGAATGGGGAATATATTCCTGTTACAACAAGAAAATGAAAGATATACCGTAACATTATTTTATGATATCACTGAATGGGTGCTGGGGATTTGGTTTGAAGTACAAGGGCAGGTGGTGGAGGTTGAAAGGCGAATGGGCATTTTATAACACACAGTGATAAGTATTACAGGATAAGTACAGACTTCTAAAGAAACACCCAAAGGAAAACAAACTAGGGTGTGTAGTGCCCCAGCACATTTCTTAGGGGAGGTCTTAACTTATTTTATTATTATAGGGTGTAATGTTGGAAACTAAGAAGAGTACTGGGAGATGAGTCGCCCCTCAGCCCCAAGTGATACATGCATGGAGAACCCAAAGGAACCTGTGTCAGTTATAGAAACTGTCAAGTTGCAGTTTAGTTTCCATTGTCACGTTAAACTATGTCCATTATGTTTTCATTTGTGTTCAGTTTTAAATGTGCCTTTTTCTATTAGTATACCAGCTACCAAATTTTATTTTGTAGTTTATGTGTATTAATTTGTAAAATTGCTTTTATCTTATATAAGACTATATAGCACAGCTTTTATAGCTGTTTATTTAAAATTATGGTAAAAAAATGTTTAAGTCATCCCTGGGAATCCCCGATAGTTTTTCCCTTAAAAGAGGTCCACACATCCCTGAAACTGGAGAACTGAGAGACTAAGTCATAAAGGGATAATGTCCCAAAGAGGTGTGTGAGGTGGCAGGAGGGGATGGCACTCAGGGCACAGACAGACGGTATGACCTTGCTGACACCTTTTCCTCAACATTACTTCCCAAAGGAGGGTGCAGGCGTGGATGTCCACGTATCCGTTCCAATAAGGATGCTGAGCCAATCCCGATGAGATGGTGTTTTTTTTTTTCCTCTGGCAAACACGAGTGCGGAGCAACCTTGCCAGCTCAAAGTGATGGAGGAAGCAAGCTGGTCAGAAGTTTGAGGAGAGTGGATCCCGAAAGCAAGAGAAATAAGTATTTCCAAATATTTTTGAAATTGAGATCCCCCAAAAGATATTAATTGTAAAATCAGAGAAACAATATTATTTTAAAAGTTGGAGTCGCTACAGTAGTTATATTATGTTTCATGTTAAAACGTACATGCTTATTCTCACCACAATCTCAAATGTTAAAAATTACTTAAGATTCCATTGTAAAATTTTTTAAAAATTATTTTTATTTAGGTACCTGTTTACTAAGTTAAGCTTTCCTCATTTTAAAAGCACCTTACTGGATTTTTTAAAGCATATTTTAAGTTTAAACAAAAAATCCATTTTATTCCTATAAATAAGACTTCATTCTTCTACAGATATCTAATAATTATATTCCCTGCTCATAAACCTTCAATGCTACCCCATTAGAGCATGAATTGCAAACTGTGTAGTTCGATTTTCTTTAAAGTACACCTCTACAAACAATTGAGCACCAATTACAGAGTTAGATGCCTTTATTTCCTGCTATACATTAATTGGGTTAAACAGGTGTGCTCCACTTGCTTGATTAAAAAACGACCTAGGGTCCTTGTTAGACATGCACATTTTAACACCTGTCCCACTGCAGCAGAATCCCAGTTCTAGGGCCATCCCCCTGGAAACCTCGACTTTAAACACGTGCCCCGCGGTGCCTGGTGGAGGTCGACCCGGGAACGCTGCCCTGAGCCTTTCCTCAGCTCTGTGCTTCACACCACTGCCCGTTTCCCCAGGGGGCTGGGCCCCGCTCCCACCCCCGGATTTTGAGCTGAGCAGACATGCCTCTGCCCGCTCCAGAACCCATCATCTGTGCCATCTTGAGCAGAGCAGCCTCTCCAAGCTCCACTTCTCACCTGTGAATGTGGGTGTTGGGTCCTGCTTCACGGGACTGCTTGGGGGCCAGTGAGTTCACGCATGTTAAATACCTAGCACAGAAAAGTGTCCAGGAAACTATTTTACGGGCCTTTTAATTCACACAGTTCTCTTACTGTAGGATGCTACTTATCCAAAACACTGCATTTTCCCTTCAAGATCCAGTTCAAATAGTACCAAGAAGCCTTCCCAGACTCTCTTCCTATCTCAGTAAGAATTCCTGGTTCCACCTTCCCTCACAATGTAGCCCATGAAGTTCTTTTATAACAAGTACCAGTCTGCTTAGTGTCTAAATTATTTAGGGATGATCTGCCTTTGCTCTCTGCCAAATGACAAGCTCCAGGAAAAAAGGACTGGCTCGCTTTTTTTTTTTTCTTTTAATCTTCCTCTTATACAAGGTCGAACTGGAGTAAGGAATGCCACAGAAAAGAATATCTTTAAAAAAATGTTCCTTCATACTAGATATGTCTGAGGTCTATCAACTTCCTTGGCTAATTCATTTCTATATGTTAGTTTAATAGGCAAAATACTCTCTACCCATAAAGTTACCACTTTCTGTGATCTTTCACAAAAGAAGAAATAATAGCCATCATTTTAAATGATTATTTCATGGTATGGTATGAGCTCATCAGATTTCTAACTTTAGATGTCATATTTGTACTAATTAAATTAATATTTAACAACCTTAGATGTATTGGAGAGGATGAAGAAAGGAAAAAAGTACGATACCTTTTTCAGGGTCTTTTAAAGATACTACAATTTGTCTGTTTCCTAACTGGCAATTGCAGGAAGACTTACAGGGGTTGGATTGGGGTATATTCTCATTTTCTACTTCACAAATGACCAGCCATCTTCTGAGGCCTCAAAATGTTTCGTTTAAGTCACATATATATGTGACTTAAAGTCCTTATTTGCATAGATTATCATCTCAAATAGGCAAACAATACAATTCTGACATAAAATACACCAGATAAGAGCATAATTAAATATTTAGTACCTTCAGCAGGTTCAAGAGCTCTTTCCCTAGTAATAATAGACGCTGGCATTGAGAAGTAAATGCAAACAAGGCCAAAGGAGGTCATGGCCATTAAAAAATTTTAAATTTTGTTAGAGATTAATTAATATGGCTTTACTTGTGAACATGGAAATAATAATTCACGAACTATGGGGTAATACTGACAACCACACAATTTTTTAAATCATGAATAAATAACTTGGTAGGTCAGCAAATTACACTTAAAAAACTGAGACTTATAATATGGAATTTTAAAAATCTGGGATAGAAACATAATATATAAAAGTAACATTTTGGCAATCATCTCTTTATAGAGCTACATTATGATCTAAAATTATCATTCACCTATATAAAAATTGAGTTATCTGTAAAAATGTATAGAAGTGGTTCTAAGATCATGCATCTTCTATTTGAATAATAATGGAATACAGATGAGAATGAAGAAGTAAACAGAAAAGTAACTGGAGCAGATGGCACAAAGTTCACGCTCCAAACCTTTCATTTACTCCTAATTACCCTTGCTTGGCATTTTCATTTAGAAATTATAACAAATTAAGTGAAGTGTCGTGCAGCCAGAGATTATTAGCTGTCACCCAGAAGGAAGGGAGGCTGCCTTCAGACATGAAGGAGGATAACAGCGGCAGAAACCGCTAACGGTTGACAATTTGCCAATGAAGAGGAAAGTAGGAAACAAAGGAAGACAGATGAATTACCAAAAAAAATCATAGCTTGTAAATGAGTGCTAAGTGCCCCCAGTGGCACCTAAAAAAGCAAAGGTCACTGCGTTGTGCAACCCTACAGTAAGTTGATGACAACTGAGAAAATGCTTGACCAGCCATAAGTGCTGTGCATTCCCCAGTCCGAGGAGCTGGGTTCTCATCCTGATTCTGGTACTAAACCACGTGAACGTGGGCAGTTTCCTCATCAGAATACAGCGATGAGAATCCCTGCCTACTACGCAGCATTGTGGAGAAACAAGTGAGACAACCCTTGGAATCTCATGCCTTACACCCTAAGAGATAGAGCAGTGTGAGCTATCTATTTTAAATGTTTTGAGTCTATTATTTATTTTAGTTTTATTTTTTGAATTTGTTTTTTTTTGAATTTTCACTTTTCTTTTTTTATTCTTATTCAGT